TTTTACTTTCGGGGGGTAGGGCTATCTAAATTTCTTACGACGGAGTGAGAAAACAAGGATGAGGGAGTGCGAACCGGGGTTAGAACTGGCCTTCCGTCACTCCCGCGGGGCCCACGGCCGGCCCTCGGAGGACCCGGGGGAAGGTGCCCCGGTTCCCCACCCTGTAGGCCCGTAGCTCTGCAGAGGAGCCGTCGTCCAGGCGAAGATGAAGGGCCTTACCGCTTGAAATCCCGCATGAGTCTCCTCCGGGCGGGGGTCGACATGCTCCCCAGCTGCCCCGCGATCCGTCTGAAAGAAAAGAGTCCCGCGCAGCCCCCCCACCCCCCGGCGCGGCGGCCGAATCACTGCGGGTCACCGCCACCGAGGCTGCACAAACAACCCTGCAATGACGTCTCCCTCCGCCGCCTCCAGATCCCTCCGCCCTCCGCCAGTACCACAGCGCGAGGGGTGGAGGAAAGTGGGAGGGGACATCTGAGAGTTTCTGCGGGAGCCTTTCAGCAACGTCCTATCCATTTGGGCTACTGAAGTTAATTATAAAATTATTTTATGTGTTAGGACAAGATATTGTGGGTTAAGAGGCATCAAAATCGAAATTTAATCTTGTTGCGTCCCCTTTCACTAGGTTAGGTCCGACCGAGTGGGGAGAGGGCAACGCGAACCGGGATTGAGATTTCAGGCAAAGGAGGTGGGGTGACGTAAGGTCACGTGACTACCGGCGGCGTTGTCAACAATCCACCCCGGAGGGGGAGGTGGCGAAGTATCTAGAACCACGTGCCCCTATGACGCGATTAGAGCTGATGCTGTGAGAGCGTCCCCTGGATCTGAGTCTCAGCCAGGTATATGAAGCAGGTAGTTAAGTTGACCGGATGGGCACACACCTTTATTAGTTTTACAAACACGTGGTCCCGTGAACAGTGAGGGCAATCGGAGAGGAAGAGGCTGGGGGAAGCAAAGCATGTTTTGCTTCTTAAGTCTTTAAAACCGAGCTAAAAATTATTCGGATTTAAAATCCCCTCTGGTTGCTTCAATGGCTTATCAAATCTGGTACATAAGGAAGAGTGTTGGGACCACCATTTTTTCTATTAAGTGAGGTATTGAATACTAAGGCCCATACAAAGTAAGTGCTTTAGGGGCACCGAATAGCCTGTATGTGCATTGCAGTGGTATTGGAAATTATGGGCAAAGATAAAAGAATGGTGTAGATTGTACAAGGTGTGTTCACACTCCCTATGGAATTACAAATTTTCCTTTTCTCTTATGGATCTGCTCTCATTTGAGGATTTGTGTCAGAACATGGATTTGGCTACAATGGGGTACTGTTGTCTTTGTCAAGAAATGTAGGGATGAGATCTCCAGAGGGCAGCATTTTAAAATATGTATATATCTTTATTGATTTGAGCGAGAGGAAGGGAGAGAGAAACATCAATGATGATTGAGTCATTGATCGCCTTCCTCCTGCGCTACTGCTCACTGGGGATGCGCCTGCAACCCAGGCAGGTGCCCTGACGGGAAATCCAACCCTGATCTCCTGGATAGTGGGTCCATCCATGCTCAACAGCTGAGCCACGCTGGCTGGGCCAGAGGACAGCATATTGATGGGTAGTCTGTTGTTAAAGAAACCTAAAAATCTGATTCAGATCTGGGGGACAGGTCATGAAGACATGGGTGGGGATTTTATATTTAGCCTGAATAACTCATTTCAGGTGTTCTACACTAGCATGTTAGGTGCAAATGCACCAGAAATGCTCCCCGCAGCAGCAAGGGGTGGGGTGGGGGGCAGCTAAGAGTTGCTGACCCTTGTTAGAGGACTCTGAATCTTTTCATATACATCAGGGTAATTCTTCAGCCCAAACCAGAATGAGAGGATAGGGTGAGGGCCTTAGTATTGTCCCAAGATTCCCATAGTTGACTGGAACCAGAGAGGGTTAATTTTCCCCACATTCCTGGTATCTCCTGTGGACAAAAAAGGAGCCACATACTAAACCTGACAATCTCAGGGGAGGCCTGCATGGCAGGCTTTACAATCTCAGAGACCTAAAGTAGCCTCGTAGGATGATTTGAAATTAAAGCTTCCTAAGTAAAATGGAGTCATGGAGGGTAGTGGTGTCCTAGGCCTATTGTCTTTTTGCATCTATTATAACATACCTTTGTTATGTGAGAGTAATCCCCTTTATCCAGACCCCTGGGTCAAAATCTCCCACCAGAACATGAGACCACTGGACCCTTCATTGTTATCTTGTTTTCTGCATACCATCTCTGGGTGCTGTAAATATTAACTATCCTGTACCCACCGATGTAAAAGAAGTATTTGAGTCTGATTTACTTTTTATCCAATCTCAGAGGTTTCCCCACTTTGTGTTCTACCACCTCCCTAATCACCAGTGGATTTCATGTAACCCCTTTTGATTCTGATGTATAAAATGGTAAAACTGCCATTTTCCTGGAGCATTTTCTCAATCTGTTAAGAGATTTTGCTTCCCAGCAATTGTCATCAGTTTGGCTCAAACTGGTAAAAATTTTGTACAGGTTTGGACGTTTCCTATGTCAACACTCCCTTTCTTCAAACCCTGAAGTCTGTCTCTTACTTTTAGTAACTGCCTTTGTGATCAAGTTAACCAGGCCTACCTCTTGATAGGTCCTGAGCTAGTCAGTTTATAGTCCACAAATTTATAATTGTTTTTGGAAACCCAGTCTATGGTTTTCCAAAATGAAGTAACACTTTTTAAAAAAAATGTCTTGATTTCAGAGAGAGGGAAAGATAGAAACATCAATGATGAGAGAGAATCATTGATCGGCTGCCTCCTGCACACCCCCTACAGGGGATTGAGCCTGCAACCCGGGCATGTGCCTGACCGGGAATCGAACCAGTGACCTCCTGGTTCATGGGTCGACGCTCAACCACTGAGCCACTCCGGCTGGGTGAAGTAACACTTTCGACAAAACCAGTGAAGGCGTTTCATTTAAGCCTTAGAGCTGTGTATAAGCAAGAATTATTGGCTGTTGTGGTTATCAGGGGTACCATAATCTATTTGTAGTGTTAAACACATTCAAGAGTAAATTTGAAGATCTAATTGGCTTTATTAAGCCATTCATAAATTGGGTAACATCCCATCTAGCAAAAACTCAGAAAGGCACTCTTGAGTTTTACAAAATGGAAGGTTTTATAGGAAGAGGGTGGGACAGGGAGTTATTAACAAGACAACAGAAAGGATTATTTGGGGGCAGGGACATCTGTTTGAGTGGAAAGAGAATGGGAAGGGTTTTTTATCATGCAAATTGTCTCTTCTTTCAATGAGGGGATGGAGAGGACCCACATGATAGATTCATTGGTGAATTTTCTGATCAAGGTTGTTTCTGGGAGAGCTTGAAAGTGCAATTAGCCTTAGCCAGTTTGGCTCAGTGGTTAGAGTGTTGGCCTATGGACTGAAGGGTCGCAGGTTCGACCCTGGCCAAGAGCACATACCTTGGTTGTAGGCTTAACCGCCCCCTCTCTGATCCAGATGTTTCTCTCTCTCTCGCCCCCTCTTTCCCTCCCTTCCACTTTCTCTGTAAAGCAAATGGGAAAAAAATATCCTTGGGTGAGGATTGAAAAACAAAAAAAGTGCAATTAGATGAGGCATCAAATCTAGCTTTGGTATCATGGGCTTTTAGCACAAGTGATGCTGTTTTGGGCCTATGGTTCACAATAGAGTTTTTATTTTTATTTTTTTTTTAAAGTTTATCTGTATTGTTGAAAGTATTACAAATGTCCCCTTTTTTCTTCCCATTGACCCCTCCACCAGGCTCCCACCCCCTCCCCAGGCCTTCACCGCACTATTATTGTCTGTGTCCATGGGTTATACATATGTGCATATAAGTTCTTTGGTTAATCTCTTCCTACCCCCCACCCCTTTAAAAGTTATTATTTTATACTGTAGTGATTCTGTAGCTCTAGATTGTGAGCTCATTGAGGGCAAGGACTCTGATTCATGCTTTGTCCCTTACAAATATTTAGTCCACAATAAATATTTAATAAATATGCTTATAAAGTCTGAGCTCACTATGACATTCTTATTCATAGATAGAAAGTATTTTATAACAGGGTTGAATAGCTTTTTTGTTGTTGTTAATCCTTACCTGAGGATATTTTTTTCCCATTGCTTTCCAGAGAGGGTGGAAGGGAGGGAAGAGGGGGGGAGAGAAATAGGGTGTGGGGGGAATTGGTTGTCTCCGGAACAGCTGGGAATCGAACCAGAGACCCTTCGATGCACAGGCCAACACTCTAACCACTGAGCCACACTGGTCAGGGCTGAATAACTTTTTAAAAGGAAAGAATCCTCAGTATTTTGGTAGTGATCAACAAAATCCATGACTATCTCTCCCTCCCCTTCCACTCCTCTCTCAATATAAACTTTAGCAGCATAGAAACACTTGGGAAGCTTTAAAAATAGCAATTCCTTTACCCTATCTCATTTAAATTAGGATCTCTGGGATGGAGCCTTTTTAAAAGCTCACCAGATGTAACCGAGGTAAGTGCCCTCGACTGAGAATCATTGAATCCTGAACCCTGGTAGGTTTGTGGGCCAGCGCTGTAACCAGGGCTCCAAACCAACCAGGGCTCACAGATGTAATTTAAATATGCATGGTGGGTGGCACCATCTGGACTAGAATTTTTGGAGAGTAATGTTTTTTTTTAACAGAAAAAAATAAATGAAGGCCTAAGAAAGAGGACACTTCCTGGGCACTTGTTCCATCGGTACCCTTGTTATTCATTGGAGGCTGGAAGGCCAGCAGAACCCCGTGTCCTTATTAAGCAGTTAGATAACACTTTTTTCCTCTCGGCCCTTGTGTGTTAATCCGTGTGTGGGAGAACCCGTTGAAATACTTGCTTTCCCAAAGAGGAAGTTTTACAGTTTTGACACATAGTAAGGAACTTTTCTTAAAAAGGATTACTATGAGTTTGAAAAAATTTTAAAGCACATTGCAGAAATGTTCTTGATCTAAGAAGCGTCCTGTCCCCCATTTTAAGGATGAAATGTGGACAGCTGAACTGGAACTCAGGTCTGTGGAATATTAACATAACTAGGTAACTTAGAAAACTACAATTACACTAGACTTGCTTGGAAGTCTTTTACAAGAAGTCTCTACTACTGAAAGACACCAGCCATCCTTTTAGGACCCAGCAGAAGCGGCAGGTGCTCTGGCCTGGGGACACAGGCGAGGCCGGTTGGACAAGCCTCCGCGACGGTTCCTCTACCCGAGAGTATTTGCAGTCGCTCCCGCTGCAGTAAAAAATGCTCACGCTCCATCTCCGCTTTAAACCAACTTTGCGAGGAAGACCCAATTTGATCATTGGCCACCGCTAATTCCCACCCCGGAAGCGAAGTTCCTTTGAGCGTACACCGGAAGCTTTTTTTTTCCGCTTTTTCTCATTTCCCTTCCGGGTTAGGCCTGCCAGGCCCGTGTTCCGGTCTTGCGCACTAGGTTCGGAGCGCGAGGCCGGCGGCACCGTTGCCATGGTAGTGGGTGGTGGAAAGCTTGCGGGGCCAGCTGCCTGAGTAGGGCTGGGACTGCGCGGGGCCGGACTTTCGGGACTACAGAATGGGCTGAGGCGGTGGCGGCTGCCCGGACGAGGTCGTCTGCCGGGCGAAGGGTGCGACCCTGGGCCGGGACCCTAAGACATCTGCTTTGAGGAGTGGGCGGGACCGAGGTTTTCTTCGGTCCTGGGGACTAACCTGTGGGAGACTGCAGTATTGCGGGAACCTGATATTTGACGCAGGCATGACAGCAAGTGTGAGGATAACCTCCCTCCCCCTTGGTGGATTGTGACGTGTAGTGAAGGAATCTTAAAATTTAATGTTGATGGAAATAAGCGAGGCAGCGGGAGGCTCCCTAAGTTCTCCTGAGGGCTGGAGCCCCACAAGGGCACCTTACTGCCGAGCTGGCAGTTTCCAAAGACAAGTGGTGTCTGTGGAAAATATTCCTATTTTCCCTCTGTTTCTATATTTTAAAGTAGGAGTTTATTGTGGAAATACGTTACCCAGCTTGAATAATAAAGTAAAAATGTTTAATTCTTTCTTTATTTCTATGAAGAAGAAGCCGGGCTTAAGAATGGAGATGTATGAAACCCTTGGAAAAGTGGGAGAGGGAAGTTATGGAACAGTCATGAAGTGTAAACATAAGGATACCGGGCAGATAGTGGCCATTAAGATATTTTATGAGACACCAGAAAAATCTGTCAACAAAATTGCAACGAGAGAAATAAAGTTTCTAAAGGTTTGCTTCTTTTCCCTTAATTGCTCTGTAAGTCGAAAGAGAAATAGTTATGGAAAAAAATTATATAAGGAATATTTCAGTTAACACGTGTATTAAGACAGATAATGGAAAAACAAGTGTGATACCCTAATTGTCTACATTTTGTAATTTTATAGTGATACCAGATATATGTGTGTACGTATAACATAACAAAAGCTATACCAAATATTGTGAAGTAATAATTCAGAAATATCCATGTATAATACTTAATAAAAATGTCTGCATTGTGCAAGGCATTGTTCCAGATGCTCAGACTAGAAATGAGACTATAATGAGGTAAAAGACAGTACCTGCTCTTCAGGACTTTTATTATTTAATCAGAAAGACAGGAGGACATATAAAATAATACTGGAATAAAAAGTGGCTCATAATAAATGCCAAGTGATTAACACAAAGTCCTGTTGGGTAAGGATGGTTTCTTGGAAGAACTGGGACATGAATTTGGCTTTAAATGATGTGTAGAATTTATGTGTGAGAGAGAAACTATTGTATTACAGGTTAGCGAAACAGCTTAAGCTCAGAGAGGCTAAAGCAGGACAATTATAAAGAGCAGAGTGGAAAGGACAAGAGCAGAGACATTTGCCTGTAGAATTGCTTGTATTGAAATAGAGATGGGATTAGAGAAGTAAGTTGGAGGTAGGTTTTAAAGTCTCATCTTTTGGACTAAGGAGTTAAGATGTGAATTTGTAAGAGGATGAAGGTTTTGAATTCAGAGTAAAGAAACTCTATAAATATAAATGTGGCACTATTTTTTAGAAAAGATTGGAGGACTCAGAAGAAAAATAGGGTGGCCTATTATGTGAGTTTAATTCAGGAATACTGGTAAATGTTGTGAAGGCCCTTGCTGGAATCCAGCAAGTTGAATGGAAAGTAAAGTTAAAACATGATATATTTCAAAAGAATATACAAGAGAGTCTAAAAGGAAGTAGAACGGAAGGAGTCACAGGTATCTTTGAGGTTTGGTCAGTATTATCATTGATGAAAATTTGAAAGACCCCAAAGAGACATAGTTTGGGAACTAGTTCAGTTTTAGAAATGTTGAATTTGAGGTGACAGGAGTACATTAAAAGATGACCAGTGGGCTCTTAGAGATGGGGAACAATATCAGGAGAGATCAAGGCAGAAGATAGGATTTTGTTCAGTTATGACAGGTCAACCCAGGGGAAGGAAAGAACTCAGGAGTGTGAAGGAAGGAGCATTAGCATCCCTTGGTGACTGAGTACAAAACTAGTGATTTAAAAATACTTAAATATATATGTATTTTATATATTGGGATTTATCTAGATGCATTAAAGTTTATGATTTTGATAGTGTAGTCTAGAGGTTTTATGCAATGAAGAAAACAGATACTCTTGCTCATTTTTATCTGATCTAAAAGTAATATTCTCTTTCTTTGTAAGTGTATATTAGATATGATAGGTCAATTTGCTTTCTAAATAGAAGAAATATATTAGGCGTCCGTGGATTGTTGGAACTGCTCTATTTCTAGACAGTGAAAAGGAAAGTTAAAGTCAGTAAAGATGTTATAATTTTGTGTAAGATACCAGTCCTTATCCTGAGGACCTAAAATATAATCATACTGTTATAACAACTATTATGCACTGTAAGTAAGAAATCTGATTAGAGGAACACCTTTTCCCAGGCAGTACTTTAGCTCTTTCTTCAACTCTGTTGCATTTAAGCTGATTATTTTTTTCTATTTAATAATTTTTAAAAGCCAAGAACACAGGGATGATTTTGAAAATGTACTTAACTATACAACTATTATGCAAACTATTTTGAGACATCTTAACTATTCTTATTGGTTTATTTCTTATAGAATTTTTAGTTTAATATAATTCCACAAGAGATTTCTTGTATTAGATAACATTCTTAGTCTAAAAGGACTGTCATAATGACATACTTTGAACTAAATTTTTATCTTCTAGAATTTCACTAAATAAATGGCAGTAATTAGTGAAACCATCTGTATAAAAGGTGTCTAGTAATGAAGGAAAACAAAAGCAAACAACTTGAAAAGGGGTAATGGAGCATTTCTAGGGGTTTCATGGGAGAGTGTACCTGATTCCTTACCTGAGTGGATCCTCCCTAATGCTTATTAACTCCCATTAACCCTTCACTGCTTTTACCTTTAAAATAAAGACTGCATAGAAAACCCATAATTTTCCTTAGTTGGAAGATTAATACTGTAGTGTCCAAAAGCAGTCATTTCTTTTCACTACTGCCAACATGCTGTCCCTGCAGTACTCTGGCATCTTGCCCACCAGGGAAATTGGGAGCAAAAATAGGAAAGGCATCTGGCACTGTATTTTGGCATGTTTTTCTATTAGTCATGTTTTAAGGATTGGTTTATGTATTAATACAGATAAGCAGAAAATTTGATATTGTCCCATCAGAATAAAGGCAAATAATTTTCATAAAAGTATAGTTTTCTAATGAATCCAACATTGAAAATATAGCCTTTAATTTTTAGCCAACTGAATAAATATTTTTGGTAATTTGAAAAAGTTAAATATTTGAGAGAGTTGATTGTAATTAAATCAATGTGTAAAAAATAGAATAACCAGCATAAAATATTAAAATGTCATTTATTTCCTAAGCTGATACATTCCATTTTTTATATTTTGAAATTATTTTAACAGTAATTAATACCAGTCTGAAAAAATGTCTTGTTGCTTAATAGAATAATAAATTATTATTTTATTCTAATACAATAGAATAATGTTTAATAGAACATAAATGTACCCACAAATAATTATATATCTATGTAATGTCCTTATGGCTATAAAGTGGTATTTCATATATCTGGAAGTTTATAGCTATTCTGAGACTCTTTTGTTACAGCGTGATGAATTTACAATATCCACCTGGAACTTATATTTTACTCAAGAGTTTAGGACCAAACTCATAGAATACTTAATTTATATAAATTCAGATCACATACTCAGTAACATTGAAATTCATTCTCATTTGAAGACATAAGGACCTTTTAAATTTCAGATGTTAGATTTAATGACAAATCAAGTTGAAAGATAGGAAGACATCTCTTAGCAGCATGCCAAGTTGCGTTATAGTACATTAAATTATTTTAATAAGCAATCAAATGCTAACTTGAAGTAAAGCAATACATTTCCCTTTGTTCTATAAATAATTATGAAATAGATTAACATTTTCTTAAAATAAGAATGTAAGCAAATCAATTGAGAAATTTCTGTTGAAATGCATAGAGAAAAAGAAGCTGAGAATATTTTTGCTTTTTAAAATGGTATAGTTGTTACATGTACAAATTACTGTGCATGAAATAATTTATTAAAAATCTTGTTTCTTTTGTCAATAGCAATTCCATCATGAAAACCTGGTCAATCTGATTGAAGTTTTTAGACAGAAAAAGAAAATTCATTTGGTGTTTGAATTTATTGACCACACAGTATTAGATGAGTTACAACATTATCGTCATGGACTAGAGAGTAAACGACTTAGAAAATACCTCTTCCAGATCATTCGAGCAATTGAATATCTTCACAATAATAATGTAAGTGCTTCAGGGTAAGCCAAACTATAGGATGTGTGTGAATGATAAGCACCCTTTAAAGATTGTTCTGTTTTTATAAAGGCTGTTAAAAATTATTTTTCTGTACAATATTGGCACCCTGAAAATAGATTCACTACCTTACAATTTACTTGCAGAGAACCAAAAAACATAGTGAGCACACAATATTTATAATTATAGGGCAGACCAAGTATGGGATGCTAAAGGAGGTATTAATAGTTTGGTATGGAGGAATCAAGAGTCAAGTGGGGCATATTTTCTTAGAGAAAGTATATTTAGAAATGTTGAAAGCTAGCCCAGATGAAGGGAGGTTCGAAGGCAGGAACTGGAAACTTCCTACCTTCAAGTGAATGGCAAGTGAATGGGGATGCCTTTTGGGGGAAGAAAGAAGACATAAGGTAGCTGAGAGAGATAGAAACTTGTTTAACTTATGAAAAGTCAAGAAAGGAAAGAAGATCAACCCTTCTGACTTTTAGTGCTGCCTTTAGCATTACCGAGTATGTATTTCGCGCAGGAGGTTATTATGGAGATATTTTGTTCCCACCATGAGCTCTACTTTCTGAAAAGTTAGATATATATTCAGGAAATAACAGTAAAATCTTCAAAAATCGTTTTATTAATAAGCGATATAGGCAGAACATCTATATATTACAGTCTTTTTAAGACATCCTAATTTCCAGTTTTCTGTCTTGCTTAATAGTTTATCACATTTTTACTGCTTTGAAAAATATGGTTGTGATAGCAACTGGAATTTCCTTACCAGCTAGATCCATGGGGAGGCAGTGTAATTCAAAAGTTAAGCGCACCAGTCTTTGAAATCAGACTACCTTAGGTTTTTCACCCACCCGCTTATCTGTGGATAACCACACAACTTGTGTAGTTCACAACTTGCACAGTAAAAGGTGGCAGCCCCATTACTCTGTGGCCCCAAGAAAGTTATCTAACTTCTCTGAGCCTCATTTTCTTTTTTTGTTTGCTTGCTTGTTTTTGTTTTTAGTGCTTTTTAATATTTTTAAAATTTATGTTCAAAATATTACAGATGTCCCTTTTTCTCCCCAGTGACCCATTCCACCCTCCCTGCCCCTCCCCAGTCCCTCTCCATACCATTGTCCGAGTCCTTGAGTTGTGCACATATGCATATAAGTTCTTTGGTTACTCTCTCCCCCTCCACCATCCCTCTGAGATTCATCAGTCTTATCCATGCTTCCGTGTCATTGAATCATTTCTGTTCATCAGTTTATTAAGTTCTTTTGAGCCTCATTTTCTTTATCTGTGAAATGATAGCATAGTACCTCACAGAATTTTTGTAAAGATCAAATTAGGTAGTAGGTATAAAGTGTTTAGCACTGTATTAGGCACATTTTAAGTGCTCAATAAATAGTGCTAGTAGGGAGTCAGGAATAGTCATGTTATTGTATTCCTATAGCGCCTTATCTATAGTAGACTTTAAAAAGGTTTTTTGAATAAAGGGAGATATCAGTATGGGCTAGGCTGAGAGTAGAAGACTTCAAAGAAGAGCTAAAACTAAAGTAAGTACAGTTTTGAACTAAGATTTCACTAGAAGAGGAAATACATTCAGATGGAGTACCTCCATAATAGAGGCAGACCTGGGCAGGGGGCTTCAGAGAGTGGTAATAAGTGCGCTTACAGAGACCAGGCAAAGGGAGATAAGATTGCACAGGTGCCCTGGGGAGAGGTTTTCCAGAGCCTTGAAATTCATCCTGAGGAGTTTGGGCTTTTTCCTGAGAATACTGGGAAACCGTGGAAGGTTTTCAGCATTGCTGAAACATAGGATAAAGACAAAACATTATTTTGGCAAGAGCGGAGGATAAGTATGGAGAGAGACAGGGAGATCAGGTGAGAGCTATTGTGACAATCCAGATATGAATTGGTAAGGGCTTGGACTAGCATAGTAACAATCAGAAGGAGAGGAAGAATGGCAGTGGGAGAGGATGGAAATACTTCAGAAGAGAAATGACAGGATTTGGAAATAACTTAGATATGAGAGGGATGCAAACAGAGGGAGAAATCAAAGATAATTCTAAGATTTTTAATTTGAAAGCAGAATTATGGTTTCATTGGCAGTAACTGATTTTAGAAAGGGGAATTGCTTTTAGATATATTGATATATTTTAAGGGACAATGAGAACATTTTTTTTAATGTCTTTATTAATTTCGGAGAAAGCAAGGGAGAGGGAGAGAGAGAGAAACATCAATGATGAGAGTCATTGATTAGTTGCCTCCTGCACACCCCCTACTGGAGATCGAGCCCACAGCCCCAGCATGTGCCCTGACTGGGCATCAAACTGCTATCTCCTGGATCATAGGGCGATGCTCAACCACTGAGCCATGCTGGCAGGGCACATATTTTCTTTAAAAAAAAAAAATGTTTTTATTGATTTTAGAGAGGAAGGGAGAGACAGAGAGAGAGAGAGACATCAATTGGTTGCCTTCCGTACTCACCCTGACTGGGGATTGTACCCGCCACCTGTGCTCTTCCCAGGAATCAAACCCTTGACCATAGTGCACAGGACTATGTCCAAACAACTGAGCCACACTGGCCAGGGTTCTTTGAGTATCTTTAATGTGGCCACTGTGAAAATTAGTTTTCCATCTCTCAGCGTTTGTTGTTGCTGTTTGTTATTGTGGCTATTGGTTTAGTTACTTTCCTGAACTAATTCTGTAAAGTCTGTATTCTTCATCATGTGTAACCACTGAAATCTCTGCTCAGCCAGTTTAGTGGTTAGCTAATGATTGGAAGCAGATTTCCTCAAATGCCTGAAACCAATAAATGTCTCAGCCTTATTTACTGAGGGGCTCTCTCTGTGTATTGGGACATGCCTTCAATGTTCAGGCAGATAGTTTACAACTCTGCCTTAGCCTTACCCTCCTGCTTGTGCAGAGCCTGAAAGTCAGCCAGAGGTGAGAGCTTAGGACCATCTTGGGTCTTTCCTGGACATGTGCACAGCTCTGTATGTGGCCTTCTTGATTCTCAGGAGTATGTTAGAGCTTTTCAAACCCTTTATGGACATCTCACTTCCAGCCTAAGAATTTGGTCAGCTTGTTTGTCTTATTATAGCTCCCTCAGAGGAACATAATGTTAAACAGTAGCTGTTAATTATTTCTCACAAAGGCCCCAGGAAAAAGGTTGTTTGCACTGGGCAAGTGCTGAGTTAGTGACCTGGCAGAGAGGTTAAATAATGATAGTTACCTGGGAATGGGGCTTTGGAGGAGATAAAACCTTGTTGATTTGGGGGCATTATTGGTTTATAAGGTTACCAGGAACTGGGGAAAGGGGAGTAGAAATAGGGCAAGTTAAGAATACCACTGGATCATATAGTTAGTTAGTTTTAACTTTCTAAAAAATATGTTTTTATTGATTTTATTAAAACATTGCAGAGAGAGAAACATCGATCAACTGCCTCCTGATGCCCCCTACTGGGGATTGAGCCCACAGCCCAGGCATGCGCCCCCACCAGGAATGGAACTGGTGACCTCTAGGTGCATGGGATGACGCTCAACCAACTGAGCCACACAGCCCAGGGCTTGTTTAACTTTTTAAAGAAACTGCCAAACTGTTTTCCAAAGTGGCTGTACCATTTTACATCCCCACCAATATATTCCAGTTTTTCCACATCCTTTCCAATATTTTTATTTTGAGTATAGTTATTCTGATGGGTATAAAGTGGCTTCTTATTTATTTATTTTTTAGTAAAACTGTCTATTCACAGATGACATAATTATCTATGTAAGAAGTCTATGGAATCTACAACAAAGTTAATAGAACTAATCTGTAAATTTACCAAGTTTGTAGAAGTCAATCAATATACCAAAATTAATTGTATTTCTATGTATTAGCAACAAACAATCAGATATTGAAATTTAAAATACCATTACAACAGCATCAAAAAAATGAAATACTTAGGGAAAATCTGACAAAAGATGTACAAGACCTATACACTGAAAATTAAACATTGATGAAAGAAGTCCTAACCAAATAGAAATACTCTGTTTATGGAGGGCTCAATGTGATAGTGAGAGACCAAGGAGGATGTTGTCAGAAAATAGAATTTTAAAAGTTGGGATTCAGAGAGTGCTTGGTTCTCAAGCATAACAAGCTTCTGCATGTAGTTGTGTTAGTTGTTGAAAAGAGTGAGAATATTAGGGTATCGACTGGATGGACCTATCTGCCCTACATTTAGAGTGCTGAGGAGGAGGGTGATGGATGCATGGTGGGCAGAATGTGCGAAGTGGTATCTTAATGTGCTTTTTCATGTCTATTTTTGTTTACATTCTACCTTCAGATTTTGGCAGAGTGGTTGGCATATAGTAATCACTCAGTAAAAGTTGTGAAAGTAAAAATAGATCAATGTAGTTGTATAGATGGCACCTTTAAAATGGGTCATTAGCGCCCTGGCCAGTTTGACTCAGTGGTTAGAGCATCTGCCTAAATACTGAAGGGTCCCAGGTTCAGTTCTAGCCAGGGACATGTATCTCGGTTGTAGGCTTGATCCATGGCCCAGGTTGGGGTGTGTGCGGGAGGCAGCCAATCTACATGTCTCTCTCACATCAATGTTTCTCTCTCTCTCTCCCTTCCACTCTCTGAAAAGCAATGGAAAAATTTTCCTCGGGTGAAGATTAAAAAACCCCAAAGATGGTTCATTACCCTAAGTTAATTTTTTGGCCATTTGTGGAGGGAGACTGAGGCGGAGCAAGATCCAATCCCAAAGAAATAGCAGTAAGTTATATAAACAAGGAAAGATCCCACATTTCTGTCACTGAGGTATTTTCACTTGTGCTCTGATACTTTTCCAGTGATGAGAACATACTTCATTCATTTGATAAAGTTTTTAAATGCCTTTTTTTTTAGGCACTGTACTGGACTCTGGGAATATAGTTTAATCAAGACATATATCTTGCCTTCATGGAATTTACAGTCTAGTGGGGATTAGAAACAAGTAAACAGGCAATTAATAATATAGCATGACAAATACTGTGATGGGGATGCGTAGAATGATGTGAGAATAAATAGAAGGAACATCTCATACAAACATCTAAGCTGATACCTGAGGAAATAGTTGGCCAGGCAGTTGGAACAGCATCAACAAGTGCACAGATGAAACAAATCCTGGAAAACTGGGAAACTAATATGCTAGGAAAAGAGGTTGTAGAAGGTTGAGAAGGTGAGTAGTGTTCAAATCTTATAAGGCTTTACAAGCTGTTTTAGAGAGTTTCAGATTTGTCCTGTGGGGTGGGGAATCCTTGAAGGATGTTAAACAGAGAAGTGACATGATCACATGTGATTTTAAAATAGTACTGTGACTTCATTGTGGTCAGTGGATTGGAGGGGATCAGAGTGAATGCAGGGAGACCAGTTAGTAGTGTAGTAATTTTCAGTGAGAGAGAGAGAGAGAGCTGAGGGGACTTGAACTAGAGAGAAAAATAGGTAGGTTGAGAGTATATGGGAGCTGAGGGAGAAAAATACCTTTGTTTCTGGCTTGAGACATGGGTCAATGTTGGTTCCAGTCACTGAGCTAAAGCACTGTCGAGAACAAATAGGTTTGGGGGACATGATGCATTTAGTTTTGGATTTGCTGTGTGGGACTTCTTGTGGAATTCCACTCCTTGTGGAAACCAGAAGAGATATCTAGAAATCGAAATTAGACATAGAAATTTGGAAATCATCAGTATATGGATAGTTACTTAAGTGATAAAAGTAGATAAGGTTGAGATGGAATAACCAGTTGTTAAGAAGAAGCACAAGAGAGTATGGTGTCCCCATAACCAAAAGAAAGTGGTCCAAAAAAAAAATGTCATGGGGTTAAAGGGAAGGTAAACTTTTTTCATTAAGTTCTTTTGATTACTTTTCCTTTTAGGAAGGTGATTTACCTTGTTAGTATTATACTTGTTCTCTTGGCTTCCTTTCATTTTGAGATGATGGTGGGGCAAGAATTGAAAATATATAACTTTAGCTTTTGCATTGTGTGGTTAATCCTTTGCATGCTATAAGAAAATAGCTTTACTGTCTTAATTAACTAGATTTTCTTTGTAATTTCTCTGAGAGATTCTCTAGATAATGAAACTTTATTTTAATGTGTTGCATCTTCTCTTTGTTTTTTAGATCATTCATCGAGATATAAAACCTGAGAATATTTTAGTATCCCAGTCGGGAGTTATTAAACTCTGTGATTTTGGATTTGCACGAATGCTAGCCGCTCCTGGGGACATTTATACAGACTATGTGGCCACACGCTGGTATAGAGCTCCAGAATTAGTATTAAAAGATACTTCTTACGGAAAGTATGTATATTTTAGGATCTTGCCTGGCCTTTCCTATCCATCTCTTTTTTTCCCATGGTGAATCTGTCACCCCTATTACTGACACCCTCGGCCTTCTGCATCTGAGTTGGGTTTAAGAGAGGGACACCTCTACATAGAACAGAGAGACCCTATGGGCACCTGCCATGCTGGCTATTAATGTTGCCATGCTTGCCCTCTTGGGCTAAGTAACCGCAATCCCAGGAGACCTATACAGACATCCCTCAGGTTGTATCCATGCTTGCTTTAGTGCCCCATCCTTGGCAGAATTGTCTTCTCTGCTTGTTTAGCCTCTACATTATACAAAGATTTAAAAATCATTTACCTCACTTTGCCAGTGTTACTATAGGAACTGACAAGTTTCCTATTTTCTGGAATATGGCACCCCCTTTGCAAAGACTGGCAAGTAATAATTTTTGAAATTATACTGTTCTAGATGCCTCAAAAAGTAGCATGGTCTCAAAAAGTAGCATGTTTATTGTAAAACAGTAGAAACAGTATATGAAACAGCAACCTAATGTACAAATAACGAATCTCGAAGAACATAAAGGGACCAAGTTGTGCACCTAATACGACAAATAAGGAGGATAATTCTTGCATGCTTTTCCTAGAAACCATTATTCTGTTTTTATAATAATTTCTTGCCTCCCCTACATGCCCCAACCAGAGATTGAATCTCCAACCTGGGGATGTGCCCTGACCAGGAATCGAACCTGCCACCTTTTGGTGTACAGGATGATGCTCCAACCAACTGAGCCGCACCAGCCAGGGCAATAATATCTAATATTAATGAGTACTTACTTTGTACCAGAAACTGCTCTAAATGCTTTACTTGCATTAAATCATTTAGTTTTCACTACTGTTGTCCTCATTTTAAACAAAAAGACACTGAGGCACAGAAAGGTAAGCTAATTTGCCTGAAGTTACTCCAAAGTACCTTTTCTACTGTACTTACCACTGATGCCCTACCCAGACCATCTATCTGCCTTGTTACTTTATCTCTATAATGGAAATAATAACAGGACCAGCTTTGTAGATTTGTTGTGAGGATTAAATGATTTAATGAATAACAAACATTAAAATAGCCCTGGCCAGTGTGGCTAAGTGGTTAGAGTGTTGGCCCGCGCACTGAAGGGTCAGTTGCAGGTTTGATTCCAGGTCAAGGGTTGGGGCATGTGCAGGAGGCAACCAGTAGATGTGTCTCTCTCACATCAATGTTTCTCTCCTTCTCTCTCTTCCCCCCCCTTACACTCTCTCTAAAAATCAGTGGAAAAAATATCTTTGGGTGAGGATTAATGAAACAACACAAAAATTAAAATATAGTAAATTCTAAATAAATGTAGCTGCCGTAAAAGCTGCCCCAGCTTATCCTCTCTTCACAATGTAACTTATATTCCTTTTCTGATGCATCCCCCAGTCCCTGTTCCTTGCCCCCAAATCATACCCTTTCTAAACCTCCTTGTACATGGTAAGTTTTGTTCCAGTTAATATTTAATATGGCCTAGTTCTATTCTAGCTGTTGTTCTTTAAAATATTTATTGCTGAAAGATAAGTTTCTTGCGGAGAAGTATAATCTCTGTACTCCACAGAACCAGCATTTCCTTGTACATGGCAAGTTTGGATTCTGTAAGGCTTCACATTGTGTTTAAAATAAATTTGCTCATGAGTGTGTTTTTAAAATCTTTTTTTGTAAGACAAAATATAGATACCAGAAAAGCCCACACAACAAATGTAGAGCTCTACCGCCCGATCAAAAAATAGAATTTTGTTGACCATCTCAGAAGACCCTCCATGGGCCCTGTTCCAATAACAACACTTTCCTTTCCCCCAAAAGTAACCATGATATTGACTTTTATTATAATCAGTTACTTTACATTTCTTTATACTTTATACTTTTATCACCCAGAAGTACATTTATTTAGTTTAATCTAGTCTTTTTTAAAAATCCTCATCCAAGGATACATTTTTATTAATTTAGAGAGAGAAGAAGGGAGAAGGGGAGAGAGAGAGAAACATCGATGTGAAAGAGAAACATCAATCAGTTGCCTCCTGCATTTGGCCCAGCTCGGGCCAGGGATTGAACCTGCAACCCAGGTATTTGCCTGATTGGAATCAAGCCCACAACCCCTCGGTGTATGGATGGTGCTCCAACCAATAAGCCACACCTGCCAGAGCTGTTTTTATTATTATTATTATTATTATTATTATTATTATTATTATTATTATTATTTGAGAGAGAGAGAGAGAGAGAGAGGGAGAAACATTGATTGGTTGCCTCCAGGATACACCCTGACTTTGGATCGAACCTGCAACACAGGTATATGCCCTTACTGGGAATCAAACTGGCAACCATTTTGGTGTATGGGACAATGCTCCAACCAACTGAGCCACCCAGCCAAAGCGATAGTATGTTTCTTTTTATTGGTAAAAAAATTCCATTGTATGTATGTATGACAGTTTATCCATTCACCTAATAAAGGACATCTTGCTTGCTTCCAAGTTTTGGCAATTATGAATAAAGCTGTAAACATTCGTGTACAGGTTTTTTTGTGGACTTAAAAATTTGAATTAATTTGGTAAATACCAAGGATTGCACTGATTACTGGATTGTATGGTAAGACTATGTTTAGCTTTGTTAGAAGCTAGCAAACTATCTTGCAAAGTGACTATATCATTGTGCATTCCCATCAGCAATGAATGAGAGTTCCTGTTGCTCCACATTCTCACCAGCATTTGGTGGTGTCAGCGTTTCAGATTTTAGTCATTCTAATAGGTGTGTGGTGGTATCTATCACTGTTTTTATTTATAATTCCCTGATGACTTATGAGCTTCAGTGTCTTTTCATATGCTTACTTGCCATCTTCTTTGGTGAAGTGTCTGTTCAGATATTTTATTATTTTACCCAATGAAAAGAAAAATTTTTTAATCCTCACCCAAGGATATTTTCTGTTGCTTTCCAAAGAGAGTGGAAAAGAGAGAGAGGGGGGATGGTGGAAAAAGAGAGAGAGGGAGAGGGAAGGGGAGAAACATCGATGTGAGAGAAACACATCAATTGGTTGCCCTCTGCACACGCCCCAACTGGGGCCAGGATCGAGCCCGAAACCAAGGTACATGCCCTTGACCAGATTTGAACCTGAGACCCATCAGTCCATAGGCTAATGCTCTAACCACTGAACCAAACCAGCTATGGCCTATTTTACTCAATTTTTAATTTGATTGTTTGTTTTCTTATTGTTGAGTTTTAAGAGTGCTTTATATATTTTGGATACAAGTCATTTATCAGATACATGTTTTGCAAATATTTTCTCCAACTCTGTGACTTCTCTTTTCATTCTCTTAATGTTTTTCACAGAGCAGATATTTTTAATTTTTAAAAAATATATATATCTTTATTGATTTTCAGAGGGAGAAAGGGAGAGATAGAGAGAGAGAGAAACATCAATGATGAGAGAGTCATTGATCGGCTGCCTCCTGCATGACCTCTGCTGGGGATAGAGCCCCAGACCTGGGCATGTGCCCTGACTGGGAATCAGACCGTGACCTCCTGGATCCTAGGTTGATGCTCAACCTCTGAGCCATGCCTGGCCAGGCTAATTTTTAAAAATATATGTTTTTATCAATTTCAGAGAGAGGAAAGGAAAGGGAGAAAGACAGAAGCATCAATGATGAGAGAGAGTCATTGATTGCCTGCCTCCTACACACCCCTTACTGGGGATTGAGCCTGAAACCTGGGCATGTGCTATGACCAGGCATCAAACCGTGACCTCCTGGTTCATAGGTCAATGCTGAACCACTGTGCCACATCAGCAGGGCTTAATTTTTATTTATTTTTTGCTAATCCTCACTCGATATTTTTTCCGTTGATTTTTTTAGAGAAAGTGGAAAGGAGGGACAGAAACCTCAATGTGAAAGAGGCACATTGATTGGTTGCCTCCTGCACGTGCCCCAACTGGGGCTGGGGATCGAACCTGCAACTCAGATATGAGCCTTTGACCGGGAACCAAACCCACAACCCTTCAGTGTGTGGACCAATGCTCTAACCATTTAGCCACACCAGCCAGGGCTGTTTTAATTTCAGTGATGTACCACTTACCAGTTTTTTTCTTTTGTGGATCATGCTGGTGGTGTATCTAAAAATTCATCCCCAAACCCAAGGTAATCTAGATTTTTTCCCTGCATTATTGTTTAGAAGTTTCATAGTTTTGTATATTACAGTTGGGTCTATGGTGCATTTTGAGTTAATTTTTGTGAAAGGTTTTTAATTTTTTTTTATTTTATTTATTTATAGAGGAAGAGAGAAACATTGATTTGTTGCTCCATTCATTGGTTGATTCTTATATGTGCCCTGACCAGGGATTGAACCCACAACCTCGGTGCATTTAGTACTGTGCTCCAACCAACTGAGCTATCTGACCAGGGCTTATGAAAGGTTTAAGGTCTATGTTTAGATTCTTTTTTTTTTTTGGCATATGGATGGTCAGTTGTTCCAGTATCACTTGTTGAAAAGACGTTCCTTTCTCTACTGAATTGCCTTTGTCAGAGATTAATTGAGTATATTTATGAGTCTATTCCTGGGCTCTATGCTGTTCCCTTAATCTACTCGTCTGTTCTTTCACCAGTCCCACGCTGTCTGGATTATTGCAGCTTTATAGTAAGTCTTGAAATCAGGTAGTGGCTTTCTTCTGACTTTGTTATTTTTCACATTGCATTGGCTATTCTAGGTCTATTGCCTTTCCATGTAAATTTTATAATTAATTTATCGATATGTACATTGGATTTTTATTGGGATTGCACAACTCTATAGATCAAGTCGGGAAGAACTGACATCTTGACAATTTTGAGTCTTCGTATCTACAAACATGAAATATCTCTCCATTTATATCTTCTTTGATTTCTTTAATGATCATGCTTTTTTCACTTGAGAGTTTATCTTGGAGATCGTTTTATATTAGCACACATAGACCTATGTCAACCTTTTTAATAGTTGAATAATATTTCACTGTGGTTGTACAAAATTTTATATAGCCGTTTCTGTATTGATGAATGTTTAGGCTTTTTTTTCAATATTCTTCTACCACAAACAGTGTTGCTGTGAAAATTTTATATCATTTATCTTTGTGTATAGGTGTGAGTAGATTTTTTTGATAAATTTCTAGGAATAAAGTTATGTGGTCAAAAGTATGTACATTTTTATTTTGGTAGCTTTTTCCAATTTTCCCTTCAAGAAGCTGTGTAGGTGTACACTCCCAGAACTGTACATAGGAGTATTCATTTTCCATAGCCAGCAGTTATCAAATCTTGCAACTTTTAATCAGTTATATCAGTAAAAAAATATAGCTCATTGTAGTGTTTATTTATATTTCTTCTGAATGTGATGTTGGACATATTTTGAAATCTATTAAAAGCCCCAGTGATATAAACTATTTTTTAAAAAACTGATTACATAGGAAAAAGTTTGAATTATGGGTGACTCACAATATGTTAAGATAAATAAATGAAATGTAAGTGGTCAATGTTTGAGATTTTTAGTTTTTCCTTTTTAATACAAGATGATTTTATTATTCAGTTCTAATTCATAAACTATCATAATGTTATTTAAGTGTCTGAAACAATTTTACAATTACAGTTTTTATCTGGACTGCTACATGACTTCTCATGCAATTTAAATATAATCTATTTAATGATATTAGTAAAATGTGATAATATTTAATGTATATCCTAAAGTTGGCATATGCTATTACAGTGAAAATTTAAATATTTTATTCTTTTTTTGATATATCTTTATTGATTTCAGAGAGAGGAAAGGGGATGGAGAGAGAGAGAGATGGAAACATCAATGATGAGAGTCATTGATTGGCTGCAGCCCGCAACCCGGGCATGTGCCCTGACTGGGAATCGAACCCTGATCGCCTGGATCCTAGGTCAACACTCAACTGCTGAGCCATGCCCGGACGGGCTACAGTGAAAATTTATAAATGATATCACTTAACCATTCTTTTTTCTTTGTCCTTAACTTTATTTTAAAAGTTTTTTTTTAGAAAAGATATTTTATGTATTTCTCTGTGAAAAAGTGGTTTATTCTTATCTGTTTCAGACCTGTGGATATCTGGGCTTTGGGCTGTATGATCATTGAGATGGCCACTGGAAATCCCTTTCTTCCTAGCAGCTCTGATTTGGATTTACTTCATAAAATTGTTTTAAAAGTAGGTAGGTAGGTATTACTGAAATATATTCTTGAATGCCTAAAATATTTCCAGATCAATTTTGCTTGATTTTCAAATTTAGTTTTCTCATTATAAGAACAGGGAAGCAACTCAGCCAGTGTGGCTTAGTGCTTGAGTGTCAACCCATGAACCTGGAGGTCACTGTTCAATCCCAGGTAAGGGCACATGCCTGGGTTGCAGGCTCGATCCCCAGTGGGGCCATGCAGGAGGCAGCCAATCAATGATTCTCTCTCATCATTGATGTTTCTATCTCTGAAATAAATAACAAACAAACAAACAAAACAGGAAAGCATATTGTTTTGATAGATGGCAGCAAATGGATGCCTTGAGCTGATAAAGAAAGTAGAAAATTCTTTTCTGTTTCTACAAATTATATATTTTTTGCCAGGATGCAAATAGCTAAGCCTTATGTTGATGGTCAATAATAAGAGAAACAGTACTATAGGAATCTTCTTCAATTTTTCTGAAAGTTGTTTAAAATTTTTGGCTTCTATAAATATTTGTATATCTCAAAGAAGACTTTTAAATAATAGATTTAATTTAGATGCTTTTTAAAAGCACTTGGAGATAGAAAGTCAATTATTGGCTGAGAAAACTTTTTTTTTTACCATAGTAGATAACCAAATAGCTAAATAACTTATTAAAAAATATATTTGATGATAGCTGAATTATTTGATTATTTGTTTTGACTGTGCAAGCATTTTGATGGATAGCCTTGCTCATGGAGTTTCAATTATTTGTTTACATATGAATGAGGATCTGGAGGAGCCCTTTTTGTGGTGGGGAAGCTATACATAAATATGTAATTACAGGATCATGAGGAAGGTACTGTGGACAACTATAAAAACTATAAAATCTGGATAAATACTGATTAAAGATACAGTTCAGAGCCTTAAAGCATCACACTTTTTTGTGTCATCTTTAAAGTTCCGGTTATAAGATAAATGTTAGAAGGAACCTTAGAGATGATGGGATCAATTTTGTCATTTTACAGATAAGGAAACCAAGGCACAGAAAGGGAGATTTGCCCAAGGTCACAGAACTAGTTGTATAGAAAAACTGGTACTAGAACTTAGCTCTCTCCACTTCTATTTATAGTTCTACTACTACTCTGTAGCCTTGTTTTTTCTTTGCAATATCTAAATAACTTTAATATGTTAGCTTTTCTGAGTAAGGATTTTTTGATGAACACTTGCTAGTTAAGTCATTTAGACACCCATATGGAAATATGTGAAAGTTTGTACTTGCTTTTCCTGATAGCATTATATATTAGGTATTACATGCTGGGAAAAGAAGATGAACCTGGTTGCTGTACATGCTCTATTGCCTATGTGCTGTCAACAGATTACTGGGAAAACTTACATTTTTATGCTATGTTCAGATAGTTCTTTGTTCAACTTTAAAAAATCAGAAGAACGCGCCCTGACCAGTGTTGCTCAATAGTTGGAGTGTCAGCCTGTGCAATGAAGGGTCTTAGGTTCTATCCCTGGTCGGGGCATGTGCACTTGCTTTCACTCTCTCTCAAAATTGGTGGAAAAAATATCCTTAGGTGAGGATTTTAAAAACCCCACAAAACAAAAAGTAAAATTAATTAATTAAAAAAGTAATTGTTATTCTCTCTTTTTAGTAACATAGTAAAGCCCACATAGCAATTTGATTATTTTGATTGGAGACTAATTTCTGTGTTTTCTTATATATTTTTCTCTTTTCAGGTAATTTGACACCTCACTTGCAAAATTTCTTTTCCAAGAGTCCTATTTTTGCTGGAGTGGTCCTTCCTCAAGTTCAACACCCCAAGAATGCAAGAAAAAAGTACCCAAAGCTAAATGGATTATTGGCAGATGTAGTTCATGTATGTTAAGAGATTAAGATTTATTTCTGGGAAATTTGCATAAATTGTAATGCAGTTTTAGGATATTCAATTCAATTTTAAAAGGATTTGTAAAGTAATGGTATCTGTTAAAAGTTACTATATTCCTATCTTTGTGTTTAGCTCAGAGAAAGTAAAATTCCTAGACTATTAGAACTGAAAGCCCCCTAGGATAATCCTGTTTATTATTTTTAGTTTGTCCCAATTTTAATGATAATTAAGGATAAACTGAAAAAATTCTAAGGGCTTACCCTTTTTATCACCACCTTTTAATAACCAGTCTACCCAAGTTAGGGATCTGTTCCATGTACAGTGGTATCCTAAGGTATCTACAAGGCATTGGCAGCTGCAGTTGTAATATTGTTTGAAGACACACCAATGCTAAAATACAACTTGAATTGGAGGGAAAAACATTATTTTAAAATTAAAATTTTATTTTAAACTAGGTAATAAATATACCAACACACTTAATACAAAATTCAAAAGGTAAGAGAATTTAATGTGAAAAATAACTGTGTTTTTTTTTTAATCTAGCCAATTTCTTTTCCCAGCGTCAACTAAGGTATCTTATTTATAGTGTATAGCCCTTAAAAAAAAAAATGGTTACCTAAATTTCAAAGCAAGCATAGTCCAGTGTTTCTAAAACGGGGCTCTAGAATCACATAGACTACATTTAAAACCCAGCTCTTTCACTTATTAGCTCTGTAACCGTGGGCAACTCACTTAATCTCTGTGCCTCAGTTTACTGGGCTCTAAAACAACATTAATAGTATTTATTTTCTGGGGCTGGAGGATTAGAGGAGGCAGTGGTAGCAATGTTCTGAGCACAGGGCCTTGAATAAGCTGTCAACAAATGTTCATGTTGTTGTTGTTGCTGTTATTTAGATAAACTTAGGTGTGTGTAATATCTAAAGACTATTCTTGAAGGAAAAAAAATATTTTATTGGTTCCTGGACAGAAATAGAGTTTATTAAGGATCAGATTTGTTTACTACATTTTCAGTTTAACTTATTTTTTTATTTCATAGTTTTAATTAGGCAAACAGTATACAATGATTATAGAAAAGGTAGAAAACACATGATAAAAAGAGAAGATTTTTCTAACTTCCATAATCCAGAAAAAATTACTATTAATATTTTGGTTTATATACTTACAGACTTTGACCAACCAAATATATGCATAGAAATTTACACTTTTTAAGTGCTGCCTCTGGCAATAGACCCAACACATGTAAACCTCAGCTCTAACACTTTCTAGCCATGAGAGTTGTGGTACAATGGGAAATTTATAGTCATGTGCCACATAACATTTTGGTCAACCACAGACCACATATATGGTGATCCCTTAGGATTATATTGGAGCTGTCCTATTGCCTAGTGATGATGATGTCATAGCACAACTCATTACTCATGTGGTTGTGATGCTGGTGTAAACAAACCTACTGAGCTGCCAGTTGTATAAAAGTATATTATATACAGTTCTGTACAGTACATAATACTTGATAATAAATGACTATGTTGCTGGTTCAGGTAAAAAAACAGAAATTTATGCTTTGTAAAAGGTATCATACTTGACATACTGCTATGTAACCTGTTTATCTTTACTTAGCATTATAATATTATAAACATATTACCATGTTAATAAATATGAAACTACATCATAATTTTCAATAGTTGCATAGTATTTCATTGTATGAATTATAGTTTATTTAGCTGATCTTGAAACTTTGGACATTTGTTTTCAGGTTTCTGGGTTTTTTTTAATCCTCACCCGAGGATATTTTTTCCATTGCTTTCCAGAGAGAGTGGAGGGGAGAGAGAGAGACATTGATGTGAGAGAGACATATTGATTAGTTGCCTCTAGCACGCACCCCGACCAGGGCCGGGGATAGAGCCTGCAACCGAGGTGTGTGCCCTTGGCTGGAATCGAAACCAGGACCCTTCAGGCCAAGGGCAGATGTTATAATTTTAAGAAATATTTGCTGATTTAACAGACTAGAAATAGTATCTCTTTTTTGTTGTTAATCCTCACCCAAGGATATTTTTTTCATCGTTTTTTTTTTAGAGAGTGTGGAACGGAGGGAGGGAAGGGGAGAGAGAGAGAGAGAGAAACATCGATTGGTTGCTTCCTTCATACACCCCAACCAGGGCTGGGGATTGAACCTGCAACCCAGGCACATGCCCTTGACTGGGAATCGAACCTGGAACCCTTCCGTGCGTGGGCTAACACTCTAACCACTGAGCAGCACCGGCCAGGATATAACATCTTTTTTTTTTAATTGCACTTACATCATTACAGGAAAGGTTGAGCATTTTGCTAATATTAATTGTTCATTTGTATTGCTTATTTTACCTATTTGTCATTAGAATATCTTTTTTTCATATATATTTAAAAATGATAAGAATAGTAGTCTTTTGTCATATATATTGTAAATAATTTTTTTCAACTTTAATAATTCAGTGATTTGGAATATCACATTTATCACAGACAATGCTATGCATGCTAGGGTCTGTTTCTATGTCATTGATTTCTCTCTTTATTCTAGTATAAGTACCATTTTGGTTGATTATTATAACTTTAATACATCTTAATATCTGGGGTAGAGCATGTATTTTTCCTAGATTTAAATTTTCTAAACAACTTTATTGTGGTTTAATTTATATACAGTAAACTACACATACTTAAAATGTACAATTTGATGAGTTTTGATAGATGTATATACCTATGAAACTACTACGACAAGACACATAACATTTCCATCACCCCTTAAAATGTCCTTGTGTTCTTTTGTAATCCATCTTTTCCTCCATTCCTATCCCCAGACAACCACTGATTTGCTTTGTCACTATAGATTAGTTTACATTTTCTAGAATAGTATATAAATGGAATCACACAGTTTGTCCTTTTTTGTGTCTGGCTTCTTTAACCCAGCATTATGGTTTAGAGATTCATTCATGGTTTTGAATGTGTCAGTAGTTTATTCCTTTAATTGCTGAGTATTATTTCATTGTTTGGGTATATCACAGTTTTTTATCTATTGGGGTTTTCTATTTTGGGCTAGATAAAATTGCTATGAACATTCATGTACAAGTCTTTGTGTAGAGTTATATTTTTCTCTTAGGTAAATATCTAAGAGTGGATTTAATGTATGTGTACGTTTAATTTTTTTAAAATATTTTTTTATTGATTTCAGAGAGAGGAAGGGAGAGGGAGAGAGAGATAGAAACATCAGTGATGAGAGTCATTGATTAGCTGCCTCCTGCACACCCCCTGCTGGGGATCTAGCCAGCAACCCGGGCATGTGTCCTGACAGGGAATTGAACCTCGATCTCCTGGATCATAGGTCATTGCTCAACTGCTGAGCCATGCAGCTGGGCTGTATGTTTAATTTTTAAAGAAACTGCCTGTTTGTTTCTCAAAGCATCATGTTTTACATTTTCCAAACTAGAGCATGTATTTAAATTTTCTGAATTACATTATTCATAGAAGGACTAATTTGTCTGCCTCTGATAGGCTATGACTTGCCCAAATCTTTAAGAATTTTTGTTAGTAAGTTTTATTGATGGATTACTATTATGTTTTAAAATAAACACGTATGCTTAGCTAGTTGCAGTTTGAAGGATCTGGGTATTCCCGCATCATGAAGTAAATAATGGACTCAATTTCACTTTTGAGTCAATTTTTTTATTGTAGTAAAACTCACATAACATGAAATCTACCCTCTTACCAAATTTTAAAATGTGTAGTACGGTATTGTTAACTATATTCATATTATTGTATAGCACATGTCTACAACTTCTGTGAATCAATTTAAACATATATTCTTAAATAAACAGAAGTATAATATTATATGCAATTACCTTGAATTTTCTGGATTTTAATCCTAGCTTTTTTTACTTATGAGATTTTAGACAAACTACTTGACCTTTTTGGGCCTCAATACCCTCATCTATACAATGGGGATAATAATAATCCCTACCTCGTAGGGTGGTTTTTGGGATCAAGTGATAGGAAAAGGCTTCAGAGAATGTTGTGTGGTGCTCAGTGAGCAGCAATAGCCTTCTAGAGAAAGAATGAAAATTATAAGGCAAATGGCTTTTATTCACATTTATTTTTTAATATTTTGATTAGAGAAAAGTGTTTTATTTATAACTACAGTTACTTAGTTGTAAATGGATTCATTATGTGCAACTTATTATCCAAAACCCTTCCATTGTCTGTTTTTGTTTTGTGGGGTTTTTTAATTTTAATTTTTGGTTGTTTCTCTACTCAATTGTAGTACTCCCCAGAGGGGAACAAATGAGCTGTACAAATAATGGATTATTGAAAAATTTGGGGCTTGTATATTTGTGAAATTGTATTATGCCATAGAAAGAGCACTGGATTTGGAATTAGACAATGTAGTTAAACTTCTAGTTTGGAAAATAACTAATCATGCTTCTAGCTCTGTGAAATGGAAATGATAATCCATGAACTTTCCATTTTCTGGGCTGATTAGTAGGAGCTAATTAATTTCTGCTAATTCCAGCAGAAAGAGACTGACTTCTGTTTTGACTAGAATCATAGGACATTTAACCTGTAATAATGCTTTGTAAGTATAAATTTCTTAGGGAAATAAATGGCCAGAACTCACTGTCAGAAATTCCTTAGGTGGTCTAATTCCATCTTTTGAAGAACGCTATTAGCTCTGGGTAATTAATTACTTTTATACTTGTCAAATAAATTTAACTTTTGCCTCGTAGAGCCCTATTAAGAACTTATTTAACCATAGAATCCTTTTTCCCTCCCCCCCCTTTCTAGGCTTGTTTACAAATTGATCCTGCTGAGAGAATATCATCTACTGATCTTTTGCATCATGATTATTTTACTAGAGATGGATTTATTGAAAAGTAAGCATTTTGAGTGAGTGTAGACTTCTTAGTGTTTTGTATTAGGAAATTTACTAGCATGAAAATTGCTACATAGGTTAATGTTAGACAACAGAAAAATTCAATTTAACAAAAACTTATTACATTCCTGTGTTGACTAGGTTTATGGTAGACTTACAGGTGTCATGGTAAAAATTCTAATAATAAAAATAATTGCTGTTAACATACATTACACAGTTATTATGTCCTAGGATGTGTGCTAAGCTCTTTACAAACATTTTCAATGGCCGTCATTGGCCAGAAATAACATTAAATAAATAATTGGTAATCTCTAGCTTTATTCTCATTTGGACCTCTGACTCAGAATAGTCTGATTTTTCCTCTTGTGATAGCATCTCTGATCTATATATTAAAATTAAGATTAATAGCCCTGGCTGGGTAGCTCAGTTGGTTAGAGCATTGTACTGATACTCCAAGGTTGTGGGTTCAATTCCCAGTCAGGGTATATACAAGAAGCAACCAATAGGACTTCTGGTCAAGGTGGCAGCATAGGTAAACGTGGTATTCAAATTCTCCCACAACCACATAAAAAATACAACTAAGCTACAGAACAACCATCATTCAGAACCTCCTGAAATCTAGCTGAATGGAAGTTCTGCAAATAGGCCTTTAAAGAAGAAACCACACAGACTGATAGAAGGGACGAAGATGCAGAACAGGCTGGTCCACATCCATGTGTGGCAAATAAAAATCAGGAGATATATCAGGTCCCCACTGAGGAGCGAGGGGTCCCAGCCCCACACCAGACCCCCCAGCCCAGGGTTCCAGTGCCAGGAGGATGAGTCCCCATAACTTCTGGCTGTAAAAACCAGCGGAGATTGTGGCTGAGTGAGACGGAGGGCTGCTGAAGTCCCAGATATTTCCTCCTAAAGGGTCTGCTCATGGACTTATTCAGACTCACTCCCTCTGAGCTCCAGCACAGGGGCAGCAGCTTGAAAGGAACCAGGTACATATGAGAAGGACCTGAATTGTCTGGCATCAAGGTGAGAGCTGTGGGGCAGCTTCCTGGCAGACAAAAGTGCTTGCAGAGGCCATTGGTCCTTTTCTGAGACCCCTTTCCTCCACAGAGCCAGTAAGCGATTGCAATACCTGAGTGTCCATCAACCTGGCTCACAGTTTGCCCCGCCATAAGGATTCCCTGAGCCCCCACCTCTCCGAATCTGTGGGCCCATCTAAGCTGTTTCCAGTGGCTTTTCCATATTAACAGCCTCTCTTGCCTCATGCATTGGACTGTGCTAAAAATCTCTCCAACAAGCAGTGTCTGGCCTCTGCATACCTCCTACCTCTTGCTAAGTGGCCCCAGGCCTGGCACTAGTGGCAGCCCACCTTGGTTCACCACTTGGGCTCTCCTGGGCATCTCCAAGCCCAACACAAGTAGCAGCCATCTGCAGATTGCTCTGTAGCTCATGCTGGGTGGCCCCCGGCAGGGCACAGGTGGTGGCTGACTTTGCACCTTCCCTGGAGGCCCCAGAGCCAGTGCACCAGGTGGACAGCTTCAGACCATGCCAGATTACAACCCTACCACCTTCATAAGCGACACACTCAAGGGGCAGACTCAGTGAGCACCAAAGCCCCACTGAAGCAAGTCCCACTCCATAGGGTTGACTCCTGCACAGCAGCTCCTCCGCTGTAGTGGCAGGTGGTCCTTGCAGCCAGTTGGCCTGAGGGTCAATCCGTCCCAGTGATTCCAACAGCAGTGAAAGCTCATCTACAACAGGACACCCCACACAGGGGCACATATGGAGCTTTGAAAGAAATAGGAAAAGTTTCTCATTAACTGCAGAATCATTCAATTGGCCTTTGGATGTGAGGTCAGAATGATAAACATCAATTAAAAATGTGATGGAGCTAAGATCGGGCATGGAAAAGTCTAGGAACTGCCATTGAAGAGAGACTCAAGTATTAAAAGGCAAAGGAAAGGGAATCCTTGAGAGTAACTAGAACTTCAGTCATTTCAGGAATTTTAATTTAAAACAAAAGAATGAGAAGATATATTAAAGTGTCATTAATGAAAAGTGCCAGTTGTTGAATAAAAAGGTGGTTTAGTATCAATTCTACATAGACTAAGTTGATATTTCAGGTATCTAGATATTTGGATTTTACTGTTATGGGTGAAAGTTCTTGAGTTCCAATTATTGAACCCTCAGAAAAGGTTTGGGGAAGACCTTTTCCTTTGGTAAGAGGACTCTTCCTTTTTTGAACCTTCTGCAGTGCAAGGGAGTTTTCACAGAAGTGTGACATTTTCTCATTCTACCAAAGTAATCACACTAGTTATTTTCTTCATCTCCTCACACTACCCTTTACTAAACATGTCCTCTGCACAGCACTGGCAAGACTGGGCTGAACGAGGGAAGAATTCATTCATGGACTGATATTTTTAAAAGTTCCCCAGATTGATAGCAATAGCTGCTTCGAGGAGTTGAACTGTGTAACTCAGGCATAGGGGTGGAAAGGAGACTTTTCAAGATAGCCTTTTGAATTTTGAGCCAAATTAATGGATTTTATGTTAAAAAATAAATAACTTTTTTTAAAAAAAGAAAGTCAGCCTTGGCTGGTGTGCTCAGTGGTTAGAGCGTCAACCTGCAGGCTCAAGGGTCACAGGTCCAATTCCTGGTCAAGGGCATGTAGCTGGGTTGCAGGTCCTATCCCCGGCCCCAGTTGGAGTGCCTGTGGGAAGCAAACAATTGATGTGTCTCTCTTATATCGGTGTTTCTCTTTCTCTCTCTCCCCCTCCCTCCTCCTCCCTCCCTCCCTTCCACGCTCTCTAAAAATCAATGGAAAAAATATCCCCCAGTGAGGATTAACAAAAAAATAAAAATAAAATACAAAAGAAAGTCAAATTATAACCCAATCTCCCTTCATTGTTGACATTCTGTTACATTTTGTATTGAAAATATTTTTCTAGAGTAAGATTTCAGAAACTAGTTAGTTTATCTTTTAAGTACTATTACTTTAAAGAACCACAAAAAAGACAAAAATGGCCTGAGCCTTCCCTGAAAAGAATAGTATACTTATCAAAATTTAAAAGCAATATTTTTATTTTTAAAGTTTGCATCACAGAAGGAATCTAATTTCTTTAAGTCTTATTTTGTAAAAGTTTTATATAGTAAATTCCCATGGCAAAACTGAAAGATGTGTCTTTACCAGGAAGCAATTTGTATTAGGTAAATATTGGGCCAGTTCTTGGTATGCATTATTGATTACTTATTTTGTGGCTGAAATGTAAATTACTTGATTAAATAGTCCATTAAAGATAAAAATATCTACAGCCCTGGTCAGTTTGGCTCAGTGATTAGAGCACCAGCCCACAAGACCGAGGGGTCTGGGTTAAATTCCTGGTCAAGGGCACCTGCCTGGGTTGCAGGCTCTCCTTGCCCTGTTGGGGTGAGTGCGGGAGGCATCCAATAGATGTGATTCTGACTCTCACATTGATGTTTCTCCCTCTCTCTCTCTCTCTCTCTCTCTCTCTCTCCTTCCTCCCTTCCGTTGTCTCTCTGAAAAGCAATGGAAAAAAAATATCCTTGGGTGAGGATTAACAACAAAAATTATCTACATAAATAAAAAGATGATCGGTTGATATTGCTTGTTTTATCAGATTCATACCGGAACTAAGAGCTAAATTACTACAAGAAGCAAAACTCAATGCATTCGTAAAGCCAAAAGAGAATTCTAAAGAAAATGAACTTATGAAAGATGAAAGAAAAACAATTTATACTGATACACTGCTACACACTTCACTTTTCGGAAAGGTAAAAACTGGTTTTCTTTTTAGCCAGTAACGTTATATAGTTAGCACTCTAATGATAAAAATTACAGTTCTTCTGACTCAGATTTTGGATGTATCTATTCCAGGAAATGGAAAAAGAAAAAAAACCCAAGGAAACCAAAGCCAGAGTTATTAAAGTCAAAGGAGGAAAAGCAGATATCTTAGAACCAAAAAAGACAGAGTATGAAAGTGGACATTGTCAAACAGATACAATTGAAAATGCTCATACCGTGTCTCAAAATACAAAATCTGTAATCAGTGAACCACCACACCCTGCCAATCCCAGCGCTAACTCCCTTGGCATGAAAGACAGCCCACATGCTGGAGGCAGTAGGATGATGCCGCCCATTAACCTAACTAGCAGCAATTTGATGGCTTCCAGTCGCAGTTCAAATCCCTCCCACTCCAATTCAAGGTGAGTTCCAACAGAAGAGAGACAAAAGGAAGTGGACCTAAGTAATATAATGTCCCTGTATAATAGTATTTCAAAGAATCGAGTTCATAGTGTCTGTAGGTAAAATGAATTTGAAGATATATTGAAATTATAGTCATACACTGGGTCCTTACTGAGTCTTTCTTATAAATACTGTAGAAGAAATTAACTTTTATTAGCTATACAGATGTTTAATTTTTCACTAATGCCTTTTGGAAAAACCTCAATTTAAAAAAAAAAAAAAACAAACCTTACCTGGCCAGGCGTTGCTCAGCGATTGAGCGTCAACCTAGGATCCAGGCGATCAGGGTTCGGTTCCCGGTGAGGGCACATGCCCGGGTTGCGGGTTCAACCAATGACTCTCTCATCATTGATGTTTCTATCTCTCTCTCCCTCTCCTTTCCTCTCTCTGAAATCAATAAAGATATATTTAAAAACAACAACAACAACAAAAAAACCTTAGAAAAATTTCTTCTCATTTGGAGAGAAAAAAGGTGATACGACCTAAGTTCTGGTATTGATGTGCCTTGTTATAACAAAGTAAGCTTTATTTCTGTATCATAGCTAATTCTCTAAATGGAGAGAGGATAGTTGAAAATAATCTTTTATAGTCAAATAGTCAATAGTTTTTCAAGGTCAAATATTTTGGGAGGAAAACAACATACTTGGGCTACTTTTAGTTTTAGCTACTGATACAGATTGAGAGAATGGTGCATCAGTCTATTAATCAAGGGCAATGTGATGGATGGCAGGGTCTATCTAGTAAGGCATCAGGGCCAGTTCTAAATTTAGGGAAACTACTGTATATCTAGATGAGGAAGGAGACTAGATTCTATATCCCAAGCTGATCCTACCAGACTGATTTGGGCTATACATTGTGAAACACTGCTCTGCAGAGGTGGGCAAGTGGACATGTCTATGTGGACATGTCTGTGTCAGTCGAAAGGCACAGCAGGTTACAGATAGCAAGAGCTCAGTTGTTCTTGAGGTGACCCAAAAATCATTGCTGCAATAACCATGGTTGTGAACCAGCTTTGGACAGCAAGCTCAGAAATTCAGAAACCCAATAATTCAAAGATCTAGGTTCAGATCAGATAGAAGGGACCAAGTAGGCCAGTTGGAGTAACCCTACAACACGGTTGCTCCCACTGACATTAGCCATAGTGAGTTGTTCGCTGCTCTGTTTTCACCTCTCTACTCAGAGCAGTTGGCACTTGAGGACTGACAACTGCATTTTGCACTCAGTGTTCAAACTAGACTTCTATGGTATAACTTACTCATTATTGAATTGAAACAGAAGCACTTCTGGGGAGTTTTAATAACTTTTTATTTGTTTTTAAATAATAGGTTATCTGAAAGAGCAAAAAAGAGACATACTTCTTCACAACCTATTGGACAAGTTATGGCTAATAGCAGGCAAGAGGATACAGGCCCCACTCAAGTAAGGCAAGAAGCTTGTTAATGAATTATGGCCTCTTTCAGCATTATCTCTCTAACTGCCCCCCTTGTCCTTTCCCCATCTCTGGGGCTTTAACATTTTTTAAAATTTGCTTTTAGTTTCCTTATTTTCCCCCTGAGATGAAAATAGGCATTTCCTTAGTGCCTTCTCAATTTTAGTTAATTCCTTTTAACCTGATTTGTGTATTCAGTGTGTTACTTGCCTGGGGGAGGGGGAGGCGTTTAAGATTTTCACCTTTAAAAGTCACAAGACTTTTTTTTCTTTAACAAAAATTATCTTTATTGTTGAAAGTATTACATATGTCTCCCTTTCCCCCCAATTGACCTCCTCCACCCTGCTCCCCACTCCACTGTCCTTCACTGCACTATTGTCTGTGTACATGGGTTGACTTTTTATTTTTTCACCTCAAAAAATGAATGGAGTTTCCTCAAAAAGTTAAAAATGGAACTGCCTTTTGACCCAGTTATCCCACTCCTATGAATATATCCTAAGAATCCTGAAACACTAATCAGAAAGAATATATGCACCCCTATGTTCAAAGCAGTGCAATTTAGACTAGCTGAGATCTGGAAACAGCCCAAGTGCCCATCAGTAGATGGGCTATGGGACATTTACACCATGGGGTACTACACAGCTGTAAAGAAGAAGGATCTCGTACCCTTTGGGACAGTATGGATGGACCTGGAGAATATTATGCTAAACAAAATAAGCCAGGCAGAGAAAGACAAACATCACATGATCTCACTTATATCTGGAATCTAAAGAACTTAATAAACTGATGAACAGAAATGATTCAATGACATGGAAGCATGGAACAGACTGATGAATCTCTGAGGGAAGGTGGGGGTGNAGAACTTAATAAACTGATGAACAGAAATGATTCAATGACATGGAAGCATGGAACAGACTGATGAATCTCTGAGGGAGGGTGGGTGGGAGCGATTAACCAAAAATTTATATGCATATATGCATAACCTGTGGACACAGACAATAGTGTAGTGAAGGCCTGGGACAGGGAGTGGGTGCAGGGTGGAAGGGGTCAATGGGGGAAAAGGGGACATCTGTAATACTTTCAAGAGTAAAGATAAATTGTAAAAAATGTTTTTAATAACTTTATTATTATTTTTTAAATATATCTGTATTGATTTCAGAGAGAGAAAGGAGAGGGAGAGAGAGAGATAGAAGCATCAATGATGAGAGGGTCATTGATCGGCTGCCTCCTGCATGCCCCAGACCGGGGATCGAGCCCGCAACCCAGGCATGTGCCGCTGTCTCTTATACACATCTAGATGTGTATAAGAGACAGGGATATATGCACCCNTGCCCCAGACCGGGGATCGAGCCCGCAACCCAGGCATGTGCCGTGACCGGGAATCAAACCCTGATCACCTGGATTCTAGGTCGACGCTTAACTGCTGAGCCACGCCCAGCCGGGCAATATCTTACTTTATAGATTAAAGTAATTGCCAAATAGATACATTTTACTTTTCACTAAAAAAAAAATCAGTGAAGTTTATTCCCTCATTTTTTTACATAGGAAAGTAGCTTATTCAAAAATTGAACCAGACCCTAGCCAATGTGGCTCAGTGGTTAGATGTCGGCCTGCAGACTGAAGGGTCCCGAGTTCAATTCTGGCCAAGGGCACATACCTCCATTGCTGGCTCAGTCCCCGGCCCGGGTCTGGGCACATGCAGGAGTCGACCAATCAATGTGTCTCTCTCACATCGATGTTTCTCTCTCTCTCTCTCTCCCCCCCCCCCACTCTCTCTGAAAAGCAATGGAAAAAATATCCTTGGATGAGGATTTAAAAAAAAAATGTTGACCCACAGTGTTATTTATAATAATAAAAAATTGAAAATACAAATTCATCCAAGCAAGTGGCTGGTTAAGTGCATTAGAATATATATATACAGCGGGATACTACACATTATATTGTGGAAGGTTATTCATTAACCTAGGAAAGTTTTTCTTTTCCTTTTTATTTAAAAAAAAGTTTTTAAAGGAGAGTCTTTTAAAAATTTATTTATTGATTTTGAAAGAGAGAGGAAGAGAGGGGGGGAAGAGAGAGAGAGGGCAGAGAGATTGAGAGAAAGAGAAACATGGATTTGTTGTTCCACTTATTTGACTATATTCCCTACGCTGCACTCTACATCCCCAGGACCATTCTGCAACCACCAATTTGCATTTCTGAATCCCTTCATCTCTTTCACCCATCCCCCCAACCCCTCTCCCATCTGACAACTGTCAAAATGCTCCCACATCTATGAGTCTGCCTCTGTTCTGTTTGTCTATTTTTTTCCCTAGATTCCACATATAAATGAAAGCGTCTGGCATTTGTCTTTCTCTGACTGACTTCTTTCACCTAGCCTAAAACCCTCTAGGTCCATCCATGTTGCCGCAGATGGCGAGATTTCATTCTTTTTTATGGCCAAATCATATTCCATTGTATATATGCACCACTTTTTGTTGTTGTTGTTAATCCTTACCCGAGGATATTCCCTTCATTGCCTTTTAGAGAGAATGGAAGAGAGGGAGGGAGGGGGAGAGAGAGAGAGATTGATGTGAGAGAGGCACATCCTTTGGTTGCCTCTTGCACGTGGCCCGACCAGGGGTGGGAGTGGAACCTGCAGCCCAGGTATGTGCCCTTGACTGGGAATTGAACCTGAGACCCCTCATCACACAGGCCAATGTTCTAACCACTGAGCATCACCGACTAGGGCACACCACTTCTTTTTTATCCACTCATCTATTGATGGACACTTAGGTTGCTTCCATATGTTGGCTATTGTAAATAACGCTACAATAAACATATGGATGTATATGTCTTTTCAATTTAGTGTTTTGGATTTCCTTGGATAAATACCCAGAATTGGATTGCTAGGTCCTTCTTTTCTCTTGTTATAGCCTTTGTTTTAAAGTCTATTTTGTCTGATATAAATATTGGTACCCCAGCTTTTTTGTTTTATTTCCATTTTCATGAAATATTTTTTTCCATCTCTATACTTTCAGTCTGTGTGTCTTCGAATCTGAAGTGAATTTCTTGTAGACAGCATATGTAAGGGTCTTGTTTTGTTATACATTCAGTCACCATATGTCTTTTGATTGGAGCATTTAATCCATTTGCATTTAAAGTAATTGTTGATAGATATGTATTTATTGCCATTTTATTATTCATGTTTTTTATGTTTTTTTCTTCTTCTTAAAGTAAACCCTTGAACATTTCATATGATATTTGATTGGTGGTGATGAACTCCTTGTCTGGGAAGCTCTTTATCTGTCCTTTGATTCTATCTAAATGATAGCTTTGTTGGGTAATCTTGGTTGTAGGTCCTTGCTTTTCATCACTTTGAATTTTGTGCCCATCGTGTCTGGCCTGCAAAGTTTCTGTTGAGAAATCAACTGACAGTCGTATGGGTGCTCCCTTGTAGGTAACTAACTGCTTTTCTCTTGCTGCTTTTAAGATTTTTTCTTTGTCTTTAACCTTTTGGCATGTGTCTTGTTCTGGGCCTCTTTGGGTTCATCTTGTACGAGACTTTCTGTGCTTCCTGGACTTGTCTGTTTCCTTCACCAGGGTAGGGAAGTTTTCCATCATTGTGATGTGAATGTTGTTGGTATGCTTGAAGTTGTCCCAGCAGCTTCTTACACTATCCTCATTTCTTTGGATTCTTTTTCTTTTTGCTGTTCTGATTGGGTGTTTTCTGCTTCCTTATGTTTCAAGTCACTAATTTGATTCTCTGCTTCATCTACTCTACTGTTGATCTCCAGTAATTTATCCTTTGTTTCAGTTAGTGTATCCTTCATTTCTGACTGGCCCTTTTTTAATGGTTTTCATGTCCTTTTTTATGCTGTTGATGTTCTCACTAAGTTTCTTGAGTATCCTTATAACTATGTTTTGAACTCTGTATCTGGTATTTTGCTTGCCTCTATGTTATTTAGTTATTTTTCTGGAGATATCTCCTATTCTTTCATTTGGCACCTGTTTCTTTATCTCCTTATTTTGGCTGCTTCCTTGTGTTTGATTCTGTGTATTAGAGCTGCTACATCTCCTGTACTTGGTAGAGTGGCCTTGTGTAGTAGGTGTTCTATAGGGCTCAGTGGCACAGCCTCCCCACTCACCTGAGCTGGACGCCCCAGGTGTGCCCCTGTGTAGGCTGTGTGTACTGTCATGTTGTAGTTGATCCTTGATTGCTATTGGCACGTCACTGGAGGGATTGACCCCCTAGGCTGATTGGCTTTGAGGACCAGCTGCAACTGTAGGGGAAAAGACTTGCTTCACTGGGGCTTTGGTGCCCACCCCTTGAGTCTACCCCTTGAGTGTGTCACTGGTGGAGGTGGTTGAGTTGTAATTTGGGGTGGTCTTAAGCTGTCCACTGGGTCAGCCACCACCTGTGCCCTGCCTGGGCCACCCGGCGTGAGCTACAGAGCAATCTATGGATGACTGCTATTTGTGCTGGCTTGGAGGTACCCAGGAGAAACCAAGCTGTGATCTGAAGCTAGCTGCTGCTAGTGACAGGCCTGGGGCCACTTAGCAAGTGGTATGGGGTAGGCAGAGGCCAGATGCTGCTTGTTTGACAGATTTTAGGAAAGTCTGAAGGATGAGTCAAGAAAGGCCATTTTTATGGAAAGGCCACTGGAAACGGCTTGGGTGGGCCTGCAAGTTGGGTGGAGTGGGGTTTCAGGGAATCACCAGGGCTGGGGGAACAGTGTAAGCCAGGTTGATAGAGACTGATGTGGAGCTGGCCTGCTGGCTCTGTGAGGGAAGGGCTCAGCAAAGGAACAGTGGCCTCTGGCAGCACTTTTCTCTGAGAGAAAGCTGCTCCCCCAACCCTCACCTTGAAGCCAGGTAGTTCAGTTAATCTAGGAAAGTTTTTATTATCTGTTGTCAATTGAGCAAAACCAGGAAACATAAAAGGTTTTCCAGAATGCTGGGTTCACAAGTAACTTTTTTCCTTTGTATTTTCCTAGTGTCCAGAGCACATTATTTTGTAAATAGAAAAATAATTTAAAAAAATAATAATATGTTTTTATTTATTTTAGAGAGATTGGAAGGGAGAGGGAGAGAGAGAGAGAAACATTGATCTGTTAACTTCTGTACACACCGCAACGGGGGGTTGAACCCACCACTTGAGCACATACACTGACTGGGAATCAAACCTGCCACTTTTGGTGCATGGGACGACACTCAACCAACTGAGCCACCCCAGCCAGGGCTAGAAAAATAAATTTTTAATAAAATGAACTGAAGCAATTTGTCCAAAGTCAGAGTGCAATGAATAGGATTAAAAATTAAAAGATTGTGGTTCTCATGATCAAGACTATTATTCTCAGAATATTCAATATGCTAAAAATAATGTTTGCTTTATGAAACTTCTACTGAACTTTAATCTGTTTATATATTTATTGGTACTGTCTTCTAGAAAGTATTGTTACGCATATCTTATACCATCCAAAATGGCTAATAATTCTAGGCTAGTCATTGAATAGTTACACATCTTTATTCAAATGAATTCTTGTTTATTTGTTTGTTTAGAGCCAAATGGAGAAGGGTGTATTTAATGAGCAGACAAGTCAAAGTGACCAAATGGCAAATGGAAATAAAAGGAAGCTGAATTTTCCCAGACCTGACAGGAAAGAATTCCATTTCCCAAAATTGCCTTTCATAATACAGTCAAAGGAGGTGAAAAGAATGGACGGTATGTATCTATTGTGTAGCATTGCAAATCTCCCGATATTATCTTTCACAAAACCTTTTATGTAATATAACTTACATTTTATAAGGTGATTTAGGTAGAAAATAGTAAATTACTGTGAAAAATATTTTCAGCAGATGAGAATTTTTTCCCCATAGTCAAATAAGGGATGAGACTTAAAGGAGAAAATTTTAAAGGCAGGTTAAGAAAACTTGAAAAGGTAAATATTTCATTAGCTCAGTATTGTTGAAATGTTTAGAACAGTATTTGAAGAAGGTGGTTTTGGTTCGGTCTATGACAGGGAACAAATCAATTTCCTGTGTTTATCCATGATTATTTGCCCATATAATGGCAGGAATTATATATGTGCTTCAGGAATCCAAGGATTTAGTAGACTAAGGTTTATAACAGGTATTGATTTCTTAAAATGAAACTCATTTTTGGCAGTGTTATGTTTCTTTGAAGAACAGTGACACCTTGTGAAAACTTAATATAATAGCAAGAATACAGCACTTGTACCGTTTAAGAGGAATTATCTGATCCATTTAACAGTTATACTCAGATTTAAAAAAAATAAATGTCTTATTTGTAAAGTTATAAAACAAATAATTTATGATTAGTACATTTTACCATTACAACTCATGATTTGTCCAGTTCCTTTACAATAAAATGAGAAACTGACTTAAGTGGATATCAGAATTTTCATTTGAAACTCTTAAAAAGGAAAGTAAAATATCAACGTAAGAATAACAAGTTGTCATTGTTGTATATATTTTTGCAAAAGTTAAACAGATAAAAGTGCTGAAGAGGGAATCAAAGAAAATAGATTCATCTAAAATACCAACTTTACTTAATGTGGATCAAAATCAAGAAAAACAAGAGGTAAAGCATATTTTGTTTATTGCTTTTACTAAGGAATGCTGTTTAGAATCCTTGACTTGGTATGTAAATTTAGTTATTATCATTGGAAAGTTATATAAAAATTAAAAATTCTGTAATCTTTGAAGTAGAGAAAGCAATATGTATTTCCTCAGAATAGCCACTTACTAAAGGCTTTATAACTTCAGGGAGCAGTGAATACCAGCCCTCATTTGAACGCCAAAGTGATTAGCACACATGGTGCTCAGGGAAAAGAGTGTGTGTGTTGTGTGTATTTCCTAGTGTCAGGCGAGCAAACCGTGCCAGAGGGAGCAAATGGTGGTATAGACATGGCTATATGGTCACAAGAACAGTGTGTTTGCCTAGAGCCCCTCCCTTCCTGTGTTTTCTCCAGTTTGATCCCGAATCTCTTCTGTCTACCTACTGTCCTATTTTCACAAATATTTGCTCTTAACTGGCTATCAGATAATCTTGTTGAGCTCTCCCAGCCCCAACCCACCAGAGAGAGAGTCTTGAATTTTTTAAAAATATGTTTTTATTGATTTCAGAGAGAGAGGGAGGGAGAGAGAGATAGAAACATCAATGTTGAGAGAGTCATTGATTGCCTGCCTCCTGCATGGCCCGCTGGGGATTGAGCCCACAGCCTGGGCATGTGCCCTGACTGGGAATCGAACCACGATAGCCAGGATCATAGGTCGATGCTCAACCACTGAGCCACGCCAGCTGGGCGAGAGTCTTGAATTTTCTTTGGAAATCTTGAAGCCCTAAACATCCAAATGAATACTCTCTAAAGGTATTCTTTTAAGAGAAGGGGATTGTGCTCAGCACCCACTGAATTAAAACACATAGCTGGCCTATTTTTGTGAGGTCATCAACTTTGTTATCTCAGTTTCTTATTTTTTAAATAAAATTGATTACATTTTTAAAAAGAATAGTTCACTGATATTCTGAGAGAGAGGAAGGGAGAGGGGAAGAGAGAAACATCAATGTGAGAGTGCAGCATCAATTGGCTGCGTCCTGTATGGCCCCTACCAAGGATTGAGCCCCCAACCTGGACATGTGCTCTGACTGGGAATCGAACTGGCAACCTTTCAGTGCATGGGACGACACCCAACCAACTGAGCCACACAAGCCAGGGCTTTATTACATTTTCATTCATGATAAAATTAGCACACACCGTCTGGCCAGCGTGGCTCAGTGGTTCAGCATCCACCTAAGATCCAGGTGATCGCCGTTTGATTCCCAGTCAAGGCACGTGCCAGGTTGCAGGCTCGATCCCCAGCAGGGGGCGTGCAGGAAGCAGCCAATCAATGACTCTCTTTCATCATTGATGTTTCTATCTCTCTCCTTCTCCCTTCTTCTCTCTGAAGTCAATAAAGACATATTAAAATATATGTGTATTAGCACATACCTATCAATGAAATTTGAGTAAATTAGAAAAGTAAAGAAACTTTGATCTGCAACTACTTAAAAAGGCATTTTAAATAAGTCTGTTCAATGTCTACAACATTCAAATAAAACCATTATCAGACACTGGTAGATATATTTTCACAGTGATATTTATACTTTATTCTTGGCCTAGAACTTGTTAAGAACTCCCTATTTTATTTTGCAGAAAAGTTAAAATTTCTAGCTAGAAGATGAAAGCCATTAATGGTCATCTTTAAGTTCATTATAAAAAGTAATAAGATGGCTTTAAACTTTGGTCACTTACTGATGTCACAGCATGTTGAACAGTATACCGTTTGCACATATTTTGAATGATTGTTGACTTTGGGCTCCTGAGTTAGGCAGGCTAGTAATGTGCTATTATCCCACTGTCCTATGAGAGCCCCACCTGGAACTACAATTACATTCCAATGCAAGAAGAAAGGAACTCTTAAGACAGTTCTGTCATTGTATTTATTTATTTTATTTTTAAATATATCTTTATCGATTTCAGAGAGAGGAAGGGAGAGGGAGAGGGAGAGAGAGAGATAGAAACATCAGTGATGAGAGAGTCATTGATTGGCTGCAGCCCGCAACCCGGGCATGTGCCCTGACCGGGAATTGAACCCTGATCGCCTGGATCCCAGGTCGACGCTCAACCGCTGAGCCACGCCTGGCTGGGCCAGTTCTGTCATTTTAAAATACAAAAGTAAATAGGAAAGGAAAAGTCCCTTCTTGCTCATATGGTGTAGAACTCCTGAAAAGATGACATTTTAAAGAGTGACCTTGAAACAGTTGTAGTTATTAGAAATAACCAGAAGTCATCAATGATAGTTGTAGTTTATTTGTATTGCTCAATTCAAATAGAGTTTTGACAAGTGACCAAAATTGCATTGAAGGCTATTCCAGATGCTTTTAATAAATTAATGTCAGAATTAAGAAAATTTTCTAGATTTTGAGTTGGTAGTTTGTTGTTTTAGAGCACAAGAGAATATCACATGTTTTTAAAAGCATAACAGATACTAGCAAGTTACTTGTTTTATTCTTGGCTCTGTAATTGACTTGTTTTTGAATTACCTAATCAGATTCAGGCACTTACCAGTTGTACATTAAACTCTTTTAGGCATCTTAAATGTGTACTGAAATAGTACATACATGCATTGAATAGAATCTATGACCTAGAGAGAAACCCCAAATTACTGCTAAAGAGTTTGTTAGGCAAGAGAGATAAGAGCCCATACAAAACTACCCTCAGTTCTGTTTCATGATGATAATGAGGAATATTTTGCTAAATAGTCTCCCTGTACCTTATGAAACAACCTCCAGGTGCAAAGTACAAGTACTTATCTGTGGCTATATTTCGTTAGCCAAAGAATCACCATTTCCTCAATTAAGGTCCTGTTTCTATTTACTTTTTAGAATACAGGAAATGCACAAACTGAAAGGAAGAAGAGCCTGCCAGATGTAGAGTAGAAAATGCAGCAGCTGAAAATTCAGGGAATCCCAGAATCACTGTATGGTTTAAAAAAAAAATCCTTTTCTTTAATATTAAGCAAAAATGCTGACTAGATAATTCTACATATATATCATAAATTCTGTGTAGTTATGTGTATATTCAACTAAATTTGTTTTAAATTTATTAATCTTTAAATTATTCATGTTTTCTTAATTTTAACATTAATTTATAAAAACTGCCTGACTGGTACATCCTAATATAACTATAGCTTACATTAAGTCATATAATTTTATTTGATGATAAATTATCTCAGTCATGTTTGATTAGTGGTCATTCTTAGCTTAGGTTCAGAACTTTATAATTACAAAAGGAAAGATTTCTAAATGTGTAATAAAGTAAGATTCTAATGTCTGGGAGCACTAAATATTTCTGAGCAAGCAAATATACTTGATAAGCATGAAACATGGGTTTGATTCTACACTGATCATTCTGGAACAGCATTTAAATATATCATGAAGGTTGTGTTTAATAAGGATGGAAATTGAGCAAAGCATTGAAGCAAATCTTTTTGGCTTGACCAGCATGTTTATCATTTAGTAGTTTAATAGAATGTGTTGTTACATATAATTTAACATTAATAGGCGAAGTTTTGGCAGTATATATTTGCATTCTTATCTCTGGTTCTTACTGGCTTGGTTTCTAATTTTAGGGTGGAGATGGCCATTGTGAGGAGAAGAATTTGAAGTGGAGCAGGGTGTGTTTTTTTTTGTAGTGTCTTTTAAATCTTAAATGACAACTTGCAAGTCTTCCCTTTTTATTTTATATACAATATAAATGTAATGAGCTGTTAAGTAGGCCATTCATCTGCATCAGTATCATCCAACTGCATTTTGTTAGCAAACCATTCACTGTTTTCATCTTTCTTCTGTTGATGTGATGCTCTGATTTGGAATTAAAGTCATCTCCTGTCCGCCTGCCTCTTTACTTGCCATGATTACTCCATACATCCTGCCATATGACACGCACTGTACTTATACCAGTCTCTGCCCTCTGCTAGTCATATAACTTTAAATATCAATTATTTCCTAAAGTAAGGCTTCCTGAAGTAAGTTTTTAATGAAATATCTGACCCATTGTTTTAAAAGCTGTTATTACCATTACATGATTCAACATGTTCTGTTAGTCACCTATGAAATTATTTATAATATTTATAAAATATCTATAAATTATATGGTATTCTTTTATCCTTTTAAACAACTACTAGCACTCTTCCAGTTTTCTAGTTCCATCTGATAGTGCCTTTGATGTGCTACAGACCTTTTCTATGTAATAAAAAGCAATTATATACAACCCAAAAGAAGTATACTGCCAAAATTCTTGATTGTCCTATTCTTAAAAAACAATAATAAAATGGGGTTATCTGGTGTTTTGCCAGGACTCTACCTGATTTTTTATTTACTAAAAGTAGACATGAAAACAAAGGAAAACATAATTTTTTATTATAACATCATAATCTCCTTCATTTAGTTAGTTAAATTTTATTTATTTATTTTAGAGAGAGGAAGGGGGGGAGAGAGAAAGAGAAATATCAATTTGTTGTTCCACTTATTTTTATACATTCATTGGTTGCTTCTTGTATATGTCCTGACCAGGGATTGAACCTACAACCTTGGTGTATCAGGAGATGCTCTAACCAACTGAGCTTTCTAGCCAAGGCTATAATTTATTTTAATCTCATCAGAGGTTGATCAGAATACAGCTTTCTAACAGACTCCCTGTTAGCTTTTTTCCTTTTATAGTTTTTAATTTTTATTTTTAGAGAGTGGGGGAAGGGAGAAGAGAGAAACATCGATGTGAGAGCTTAACATTGATTGGCTACCTCCTGCATGCCCCCCACCAGGGAATGAGCCTGAAACCTGGAGGGAGGGAGGGAAGGAGGAAGAGAGAGAGAGAGAGAGAGAGAGGGAGAGAAACCATCTATGTGAGAGAGACATCGATGGGTTGCCTCCTGCACGCTCCCTGACTAGGGCTGGGGATCAAGCCTGCAACGGAGGTACATGCCCTTGGCCAGAATTGAACTGGGGACCCTTCAGTGTGTGGGCTCTAACCACTGAGCCAAATCGACTGGGGCAGAAGGTCATACCTTTTAACACATAGTTCTGTAAACAGGAACAAACTATACCGGTATGTGTGAATGCCAAGAAAATGCCAAGTTAGCTAAATACAAACTTATACAGCTTCTCAAAGTGTAAGTTGAAGAGCCCTAAATGGAAATTGATCCAGGTTATTAAAACAACTAGCAGAATTGAATTGGGAAATGATCAAGAAATCCTAGGTGACGTGGGAGCCATAAGTGACAAGATGGTACAAGACAACAAAAAAGCATTCTTTTCATTTTAAAAAAAGGCAAACGGATAGAAACAAAATATCTTATTATACTAAGCTCCTAACTGCCTACCTTCTCCTCCCTCGGGGTTAGGGAAAGTTGACAACTGACGACTGTAAAGGCAGAGAAGTATAATCATTTTTCTTCTTTTCTGAAAAAGTAATCCTGAGGTCAGATAACCAGAAGTGTGCATTTAGGATGGGTGGGATGGCAGACAGACTAGTTGAAGAGTTCTTAAAGCTGTGTCTATTCACGTTTGTCTAATATATTATCATTTATCCTTGGATTGCTGAGAAATAGTTGTTACTGTCTAGTGATGAGTTGTTATTTGGGGAACCTGCCAGGGAGTCGGCAAATGTAACGCCCTTCTTTAAAATGTCATTGGCAACAAACAAGCCCCCCAAAACACCCAGATTTGTTCATCTTAATTTTGGAACCTGAAGACCTAGAAAGAATCACCAGACAGGTGATTTATAGTCATCTGGTGGAACAGTAGATAATAATCACTGTGAATTTATTTTTTTCTGGATGGTTTCTCTTAATAATAGCTTAATGAGCCCTGTAAACAAAGGGAAAGCAAGAAATATAATGACTTTGTAGTTCCCAAATCAACAAGTATTTGGGTTCATTCCTTAGACCTCATTTGTTTTCTGTCTACACTCCCTTGGTGAGCTTATCCAGATTCATGGTCTTAACTACCATTTATATACTGATGACTCTCAATTCTCTGTCTCTAGCCTGGACTTGGACCCCTAAACTCCAGACTCAGACTTCCAATTGCCCATTCACCAGCTCCACTAAAATATTTAATAAGTATCTCAAACTTAACATGTCCAAAATTAAGGTCCTGAACTCTTCTTACTCCCTTGTGTGTTTTTCCCATCTTAGTTCAAGGCAACTGTGTTTTTGCAATTGCTCAGGAGGAAAATCTTGCAGTAATCCATGACTTCTCTCTTTCTCCCATGCTCTATATCCTTTCAGGTCTACCTTCAAAGTATTTCCAGGATTTGACTACTTTTTACTCTCCTGCTATTGACAACATTTCGTGCTTGGATTTTGTAGTAGTCTCTTAACTGATCTCCCTGATTATACCCTTGTTTAACCTTCATTCTCTTACCAATTCACTGTCTGGGTGTTCTGTTTTGTTTTAATATTTTTAAATTGATTTTTAGAGAGAGAGGAAGGGAGAGAGAGAGAAACATCAACATGAGAGTGCAACATCGATCCGCTGCCTCCCCATACCCCCCAACTGGGGATTGAGCCCAGAACTTGGGCATGTACCCTGACTGGGAATGGAACTGGCAAGGTTTCGGTGCACAGGACGATGCCCAACCAACTGAACCACACTGGCCAGGGCCTGAGTGTTCTTTATAAAATTTAAATCAGATGATATCACTGCTCTGCTCAAAAACCCCAATGCTTCTCACTTCACTCAGAGTAAAAGCCACAGACATTACCATAACCTACACTGCCCTACGTAGTATGCCTCGGGCGCCTCTCTAACCCGATTTGCTACCTCTCTCCCTACTGCCGATTCTGTTCCAGGCCCACTGGCCCCTTTGCCGTTTCTAGCTATGCTCCTGCCTTAAAACCTTAGTTTTTGCTCTTTCCTCTGCTTAGAAATCTTCCCCCAGGTGACTGCATGATTGATTCCCTCCTTCATCTTCTTCCTATTGTTCGCAACAACCTCCTCACTGGTTTTTACTCATGTATGAAGTCTGCTCTACCACTTTTACTTAAGGCTACAACTTTCCGTTTCACTTTTTTGTATAGTATTTCCCTATCTACCAAGCTATATATTGTACTTATTTTGTTCATTAACGGTCTCCCTCCACTAAAACGGGAACTACCTGAGGGTGGGGATTAGAGTTTTGTTTGCTGCTGTACTCCCCATGCCTAGAACAGAGCCTAGCATATATTGGCACTCAATGGCATTTGCTTTGTGAATGAATGGATGAATGTATTAAGCATCTTACATAGTAAACACTTGAAAAAATATGGGATAATTTTATTGGTGGGATAGGATATGCTCTCTTATAGCAGGCTAATGTTAATCATTCAAGGAATAAGTAGTAGTGATTTGGTGTGGCGTTGACAGGTGAAGATCAGCTGAATTGACAGTATTTTGATGAAGGAATTGAAACTTAATTACAGAAGGATAACAGAAGGATGCAAGTTAGGAACAGAATTCCATGGAATATCAGATAAGATAGAAAAATTGTTTCTCAAAAAGTAGAAAGAGGAAAGAGACAAGGAAATTCAGATAAGGCAAGTAAAAGGGTCAACTGAAATAACACTCTGGAAAGTGAGTTACAGTATGTGGGTCAGGTTTTCTCATGCTCCACCTGCCGTCACCATGTTTCTGTTTTTTAGCTTCTGTGTGTTAGGTGACCAGGAAAGTCCTAAATTAGTACACTTAGTGCTTGCTGTAGAGTGGGAAACTGTCAGTGTCATGCAGGTCTCTCAATTAGCTCTCCTGGCTTAGAATAAATGAAGTGATTTCTTTGCTTAATTGAATAGATACATGCGGTATTGAAAGAATAAACGATCCTGTGAAATGAAGTTTGCCTGAGATTGATTTTCAAACTGACTTTGTGTTAAGGTTCTTGCTGTTAAAAATTAACTTTCATT